AAAAGTGTTTTGAATTAGATATAATAGAAAGAAAATGAGAGAATTGGACTACCCCATTATGCAATTCATCATGGTTTGTGGGCCGGATTTAATAGGGGGTGAAAATAAGAAGAAGGAGAAGAAGAAGAAGAAGAAAGAGTTCGAATCAAAAGTTAAAAAGTGCTTGTTTTTAAAGGGAATATGTTTGTTTTTGTCCTTCTTCTTCTATAGATTCGCATGCATATTACCAACTTGTATATATATGTAGATGGGTAGTTTGATTAGGTTGGATGAATTCGAGCTGTTTTGATGTGGGCATATTCATTCCCCATTGACAAGATGTGCAATCATATATAGGATATGATAATTTTATTTAAACTAATCTCACAAAAAGTCATCCTTTAATTTAACGCAACGCAATGGCTGCCCCAACAACTCCATCAAACCAAATGTTCTAAGCACTTAATTCTTTATTTATATCATTGACTTGTTTTTTTTTTTTTTTTTTTTAGGTTTTTTCTTCTTTTCTTTATTAATTTTGTTCTTTTGTGTGCCAAGGACCACACAATACAAATAAAACAAGCACATCGCTTAGTGGAGGCAACAAAAAAATGAATGTGGACTTGTGCTCGATTCTTTTTTTTATGTAAATAGAAAAGAATGTGTTTCTAGGAAGTGGTTTTAGAGCTGAGAATAGCGTCTTCCAAAATAGACAGCTAGCTAGGTCAAATTGGACATGCATGAATCAAGAAGAGGAAGGGAATGGAGGCTGTAGCTGTTTGCCTGTCGAGGGAGGAGAATATTATGAAGTGCTTGATCAATTGGCGTGGATGTCACGGCACGTGAAATTTCCATAATATTGGACCGCATGTATTTTGTTTTAGCTGTTGAGGATTTTCAATCAACTTTTTTCACCTGTCAAAATTAAATTTTCTTACAATTTTTCTTTAGATTTGACATGATTTGGAGCCATCAACATTTTGTTTATGAATTCTAACCCAAAATTTATGGTAGAAACTATCTAATTTCCTTGTAAGAAGTACGTAGAAGTGTGAAATTATAAAATTATTGAAGAAATTTCTCCTTAATTAATTATTAAAAGTGAAGGCACCAATTTATTAATTGCATACTTATAATGGATCAGAAGGGCATCAATACATATATTCAAAGGACATAATTATTAATTGGGAGAAACAAAATTAACATGGCTAATTTCTTCATATAGATTATAAAAAAATAAAAACTGAATTTAATTGATTTAATTATAAGACAAGCACATGGAAGCAGATGCATGATATTTTGCATAAAAATCAAACTCAAGTTTGTTCAGCTGGACTAATAATATATAATCGTTTGGTAAGATGCAAAATTCGTACGTATGATTGACTAATTATAACATTTTTTTTTTTTTTTTTGATAACCCAAGGTGTCCAAGTGCAACTTGCGCGCACTACGACTAATCTCTAGATCCACTAAACATCTTGTAAGTCCAATGGGCGGGTAAGACACCGCGAGGATGACAAGCGTACGCGAAAGAATCGAATCCGGTTGGTCATGGGCAAGCCTTCAACCGTTAGACTACGACCTCAAACGCATTATAACATATTTCTTATAAGCATGGGATTGGAATATTGGTATGTGAAAGCAATATATCAAAGCAGTTAAATTTTAGGTACTCAAGAAAGGAATAACTATTTATTCTGCTCTATCAAGGACTCAAGAGGTCAAGATTTAAGTGACCTTTTTTTGATTAGAAAGTCATTCTAATATTCGTTCTGAAAAAAAAATGAAAAGAAAGAACAAAAAGAATAAGGTCAATCAATATTGCTTTTCGTCACTCTGCACTCTCTATTTCTTTCTTACACGTATAGATCCAACACAAGACGTATACTTATTGATCTAAATAGTATGCTATCGATAATGCAAAGGGCCTAACTTGATTTTTTTCTTTTTTTTCCTTTTAATAAAGAACATGGTATCTTTTTTAAACTAAATAGTTGAATTTGATATTATATAATATGTTTGAAAACTTTTAATTACATTTCATTTGTTACTGAATTTTTTAATGTATTCAATATATTCTTTTAATTAATTTTTTTTACTATAAATAATTTTTTTTAATAAAATACCCTTTATTGAAATTATATATATATATAATCACATGATATATATGTTTTATTTTTTAATTTTTTAAAATTTTTTTTTACTTAGAAACATTTCAATTAAAAAAATTATTATCAAAAAAATAGATCGAACATTCTAAAACTTTTAGAGATAGATAGATAGAATACATTAAAAATATAAAAACAGATGAAATGCTAAATGTATTATATAATAATAGATTAAACAAGTTATTTATTTTTAAATAATATTCCTATATCAAGACAGAACACATTTTGTCAAATGATTCCCATTAATTATTTGATGAGTTGTCTACATCTGACTCGTAGCTTTTGTAAGAAATTTCTTTTTCATCATGGGAAGTAAATCTACTTCACACCTAAGTCAAACCTCCAAAAACCATAACCAATTCGATGTAAAGTATCAAATCAACGAATTCTTCAAAATCTACCCCATCTACCATTGCACCTAGATCGAATTCAGATTTTTTAAAAAAATTATAGTAATTTCGAGTCAACTCCAAATGTGACCTCATGCCATTGTGCATGCGTCTTAAACCTAGAAAGTGCCTACCTACGTAATCATTTCATTGCAGATTGCCCCCACACCATGCCCATCTCAAGAACAAGGAGATTTGGACTCAGCCTTAGCTGAATAAGCGAGACCCAATAAAAATGGAATCAAATATCAGACGGACGGTCCAAAAACTTGGCCTTGTTTAGGCCAGGAACTATTATTATAAATTTACAGGATGTACACATAATTGATCCGGTACAGTTTTATTTTTTTTATTAAGGTACTTTTTTTTTTTCAGTTTAATTGAAATCTTTTACTCCTATAAATTTATTGATTAAAACTCTCAATTCTAATAATATTAACTATTCATTATACGTGATAAATTAAAATTAATGATAGCCAATCAAATAATAACACATAACCAATTTTTTTAATCCACATTGTCACATGTCAGTTCTCGATTAACACGTGAGATGAATAGTTAACAATGTTATAACATAATGTTTCAATGAATAAATTTATTAGAGTAAAAAGTTTCAATCAAGCTGAAAAATAACAAAGACTTTCAATTAAAAAAAAAAAAAAACTGAAACTGTACAAGAATCAATTATGGAATAAACCTTAAGTTTATATCTATAAAATCATCATGCCATAAATTCAATATTTTGATGAGATTCTTCCCTAAACTCTAATTAAATGCGTTCTAACAAGTAATACTGCTACTTTTATCCTACAATTATTCCGTGTTTATCCCAGGTAAAACCGGCACCCTATAATTTTCAGAATTTGATGGTGTTTAGAGTGACTGTGGATGACTATTAGCAAGAGAAACGAGTTACCAAGAAGATGAGAGAAATCAGCAAATATAATCGGTTAGCCAAAGACGATCGATAACCAAGGGACCATGGTCAAGTTGGTTCACCACCCCCTCTGGCTTTCTTCTACACTACATTTTAATGATAGTCATTTTAGGCATTAACAAAATCATGGTTAAAATCATAAATGATGATCATTAGTAAATGACTAAGGCTTGCTTTAGGCCGTGAAAGGCAAACATAATAAAAGTTGTTGATCGATGCTAACATCAGTGGTGTACAAACTGGCACTCTAAAACGGTAGTGGTAGAAACACGCCTAACAAAAGAGCCCTTTGCAAGAATGATCTAAGCCAAGGATCTACAGAGCATTCACTGACAAAAATCTCCTTCCTCTTTTCCACCATTATAGTATTACTTGAATCCAATGCACCCCCCAGTGGTAAGATCCATACAAAATAGGAAGGCTGTATGATTTGCTAAATTTCTTCTCTACGCTCAAATTGCTCTGAGAAAGTTTAAAAATCAATGCTAAAGATGACACACATTGTTCTTGTACTACATGTCAACAACAATATTATCATTTGCAATCAATGTCATTATCATCATCATCCCTCTTCTTGATCTTAGTAGTTAATTTTTAGAATTATCTGCTCCAGATAGCTATTGAGCTCAAAATTGTTGCCTTCGTTTGTATAAAACAAGCCCAACTACCATGCATATACAAATAAGTAAAAGGGATTCCAGAATAAACTGAACCAAGCATCACAATGCAATTCTGCAAATTACCTTTCATTTCATTAACTCCCACTAGAGTTCCCTGTCCTAGATACTAAATGGGCATGGTGATTCATAACTTACCAAGCTAAAGAAAATAACTAAAAGTGAAGTGCCATCTCACTGGTTCAGGCATTACAGGCACACATTCTGACAGTGGTATTACAGGCACCTATTCTGACAGTAATCATTGGGGATGCTACTGAGGTCACTGCCAAATATGTGCCCTCTAACCTTCACAGCCTAGCTGCACAGAAAATCTGATGGCCTTATCCTACACATAACAGCAGAATCTGGGCTCAATACTACTAAAAAACAAGGTCAGTTTCCATTTCAGCGTAGTCATAACCCCCACCGAGCAAGTCTATGCCTAGAAAACTAGTCTAGACCTTAGTGAAGGAATTGCCCAATGTTTATTAAGCTTACCACTCTCTAAATTATCTTATTTTTTTATTTTTTATTTAAGCCCATCTATCCAGATTTATATTCATTGGGACTTGAAGTCCTCAGCCGGGGATTCCCCCTCCACAACAAGCGTACAGAGAATGATGCATGACTTTGAAGAATCCTAACAATCAAATGTCCCAACACTAGTAAATTACGAATAATTTCAAGCACTAATTTTAACAGGCATTCTACATTTATAGATACTCATACTGTTATTTCCCTTCAACATAAAATATGCTTCTTAGTCACTCCAAACTAATAAAAATGAAAAATAAAAAATAATACAGATAGTCAATTCAAAGAATAAGTCATCTTTCAGGAAACATTCAAACCAACCAGCAATACTCTACCTAATACCTTTAATACACGATTAACCATCAATGGCGAATAATATAACCCTCATCAGCCTTTTCACTGGACTTCTGAATGCCTTTACTTATTCTCTGACTCTATATTAACCCAGTAAGTTGGCTCCATATCCTGCGTGTAGCTCCAACAAGATTTGGTACACCATGTCCATGGTCTAGCAAAAACTAATGAGATTCCAGCTGGATACTTTATACCTTGCATTCTATTAGTAGCAATCTAATATGTTATGGTACTTCATGACATTGGTAAGATGGACAATATTCGCTGTCTTCAGGGTTATATATTTTCTAGGTTGAAAGCCCAACATCAGTTTTCAAAGAAAGGTGAGCACTTACAGTAAAGATTACAAAATAGCACAACCATTTCATATAGAACCCACTGAGTTATCCGATTTTACAAAGTAACATAACTGCATACCCAACATGCATAGATATGAAAAAGCCTAGCTGTACATCCAAATAAAAATATACAGCAAGGGTGCAACTGAAACCATCAAATGGCTGTTCAACGGCTAATTCTGCCAATGCTTAAACAATCTGAAATTTATTCAGCAATGAACTGTAATCCATCCATTAAGATGGTGACATCCTAGTCCACTGTGTCGTAGGCAATGCAAAGACCATTAAATGCTTGTCTGAATAGCTAGTTAGTGTATTTTCAGGAATCACAAACCATACACTAAATGACTCCAAGAGAGTTTTTACAAGCTATAGAAACTATTGTTTGACTAACATGTTCACCTCACCTAATCCTGAACTCCCTTTCAAGCAGCTTTCCATAGCCTAAACCTTCCTAAAAGCATATCCAATATCCATACAATATAATAAGACTACACTACCTTTTCGTTCTTCAACTCTAGCAACATCAAGGCTTGCCCGACTATGAGCTTATCTAAATTCCAACTTCTTCAGCTCTAATTTTCTAACAGAGACAAGCAATAGATACACAGATTTATGCGTGCAATTATTGATCTCTCCAAAACTGCCTAATGCAATAATTAAAATGCATAAAATAAACTCAATTATCGATCCAATCACGGAATTAAAAAAAAATTCAAAACAGACCTTCAACGCTCGAAATCAGAATTAACAAAAACTCAAATCAACAGATAAAAACCATGAATCTTTTTTCCCAATCTAAACAAACATAAAATTCATACAAATCCTCAAATCCACTTCAAATCATTAACCGTGATTAATTAACAGAAAAAAAAAACATGATTTAACATGACAAACTTCTTCATTTCTTATTATTCCCTTTACCTCCTCCCGAAGAATCCCCTCCCGCTGCCTGTGCTGCCTTCTTCGCCGCTTTTTCTTGCAGCGCTTTTGCGTCTCTACAAAATCAAATCCAAAAAGATCTTCAAATTTAACCAAAACTGAATATGGAAAAAATGTTAAAAAATAAAAAAAATTGAACCGACCTTTCACGACGCTGTTCAGGAGTCAGACCGTCATCCTTGCCTTTGCTTCCTTTGCCACCGGTACGAGATTGAGCTCTCTCACGATCTTTCTCCCTTTGATTTCCGCGTGCAAATTAAATAAAGGAAACAAAATAAAAATAGCAGAAATTTAAAGAACAGATGAAAATTAAGAGATCTAAAATCGGATGAGAAAATTGAAAAGGATATGAGTCATTGTTCTCGCTGCTGCTCTTCAGCGGAGACGGAGAGATACTGTTTTGCGATTTGAGAGAGAGAGAGAGAGAAACTATGCAATTCAGAAGTCAGCTTTGTTTCTTTTATTCTTTTTATTTTTATTTTATTTTATTTTGTTGGAGGAGAGAAAAAGAAGTGGACCATGTTAAACAATATTTTTCAACGCGGTGTTCGGACTTGAGGCTTCAGAAACCGTGGATACTTTGGGAGCCATGATCTGCACTCCTTGGATGGTTTACTACCCTTCTATTAGCCAGATTTTCACAAAACTGACCATGATATATATATATCGTATGTATGGTTCAGAAACAAAATATTTTAAGAAGACAAAAAAATGGAATGTATGTATTTTATTTAAAATATATCGAAATTAATTTTATATATGCTTTTTATTTGAAATTAACTATGCATAGACACATAAAACACTTAATATTTTAATTAAATTTTTTTTGAATATTTTGAAATAAATTTTTTTCAAATAAAATAATTAAAATTAAGTTTAAAAAAACTCGATGATATCGTATTTTTCGAATAAACTTTTTTATAATCATATTATTAATTATTTTAGAAAACACACACACACACACACACACACACATATATATATATATACATATTCAAAAATTAATATTCCCAACAATATTCAATAAGAATAAAAAATTATTTAAATTTTTATGCAATTCGTTTTTACATTAATTGTTGCCTTTTTTTTTTCAATACAATCTTATGAAAAAAAAATTACTTTTTAAAATTTTTTTGATTAATTAAAACTTATGTTTTAGATTATTATAGATTTTTATTTGAGAATCTATGCATAAAAAATCACGTTGCTTTTAATAAACAAATCTATTAAAAACAACATAAGCTCTTAATTAGGTGCAAATTTTTGATTAAAAAATTATATAAATTTAGATGAATTTATTTTTTTTAATTGTTTATTTAGTTATGCTTTCGATATATTTTACTAGATCTGTAGTATGACGAGAATCACAGAGCTATAATCATTTTTTTTATATGATTTCATATGTTCTGTCCGATCCACAATATAATATGAGCAACCAATTAGTAGTACTATTATAGATGAAAGAGATCAAATAACATAGACGTCTCCATAAGAATATAAGAACTCGGTTGATGATATTATTCATAATAAATTTAATTTAAAATTATGAATTAAAAGATTTTCAATTAATACCAAGTGCAATGTCTTAAAAGATAGTCCATCAGTATTACAATCATATATGTGTGGTAATTATTCTGCGATAAAATCATAGCCAAAAACAAAAAACTTGTTTGGCTCGTTGCTCTTTCCACTTCATGGGCATTTGGGTTTGCCTTCCTGTGTTTTCATATCTCTATAGCATGGACACTCATCCTTGTCACCATACGTGCCCGAAGGAACACAAAAGCATCTTTGGCAGCAATAGTTGCAGAAGAAAGTGCATTCGCTCTTGTGTTGTGTTGCTGAACAGCGGCCATCGCAAGCTTTTGGACAATCTGAAAATTACATATTTCGAAACTCTTAACAGAATTAATTTATTACGATTTAAATTCGTGATCTTTTATTATAAAAAATCATTATCATTGAACTACAAATTCTTTGGTCACGAGTTTTTGAATCATGATTATTGGGTAATTAAGCAAATCATAAATTCTAAGATCATAAAATTTGGATTAGCGTTACTTTTCAATTTACATCGTCTAGTTGATGTCTCTAGCTTATATTTTCAAAGCAATAAAACATTGCGAGAGTGAAGAGCATACCTTGCAATTTAACGGATCCCTCTCCACCAGCCTATTTTAAATCAAAATCAATCAAATATGTTAATTAATCTGATTAATCAAGACTTGTTGTTCTAAAATATTCAAACTTTAATCTATCATATTTAAAAGACTTAATTAAAAGAGAAACATAAAGATCATGTCAATTACAAGATACTAATTTTTTGGGTTTTGCATATATCGAAACTCGTATAATTTGATTTTTTTTTTTATTAAGACCCTAAGTTTTTTTTTTCAATTTAAGAATTTTATTCTTATATTATTTTTGTTTCGGATCATAATATGTCACGTAAATACATGTAGCAAGCTTTAGCAAATGACAACTTGCCACGTGTCATGATAGTCTAGATTAGATGATTGAATTGATGACATGGCAAGTCGTTATTGGTTAGAGCGCACACGAAGCAAGCTATATTAGGGTTTGAAATAACAACAATAAAAGTAGAACTCTTTTAAGTAGATAGAAAAAAAATATTGGATCTCAATAAAAAAAATCTGAATTATACGAGGTCTCGAAATGCATAAAACTCATGGCTTATTAATAAGTTATTACACCCCCAAATTAAAATCATGTCATTTTGAATCCATGAAAGAATTAATAAAATACTATGGTACTAAAAAATCAAAGGAAAACAAACATTTCTGCATGCGTAATATGGAGTGGTAACAAGTGATCCAGAGAAAGAAAACTGACTTGTGAGGTTTCAATAACAAAGGCCATGGCAACAAAAACGATGAGAGCAGCAGAGAGGATCAAAGAGAGCTTAGCCATTGTTGCTTAGTTTATTCTCTGTAAGATTTAGAGGTGGTGAAGTGTAGAAGAGTATTGGATTGGTCTAGACACACCTACAATTGTATGTATTTATAGTATAACAATGTTGTTCTTTTTTGGACATTTTCATTTATAGAAACAAATATGCAAATCCATTCTGTTCGAGAAATTAAGTTAATTATCGTTTTATGGAGAAATTTGAAAATCCAAAAAAATTTGTGAATCCTAGTGATAAGGTTTGATTCAATAATATTGGCTAACATAAAATTCCTATTTGGACGTAATTGTTGTATCGATTTGGTCATTTAGACGTTAATAAGAAAAAAATCCAGTTAAAAAAGTACAGGTTGAGCAAGAACAGCATATATATATAAATCCATAGTCTTTTATAAATTGCTTTCTATATTTGTGGGAAATTTACAAATTGCTTTCCCAATCTTGTCATTTATCGTATCTTTTTCATGTTCAAGCAAAAAAAAATTGTGTTGGTATCATTTTATGTGACTAAATTATAAACTAATTCCCCTGGTTCGAATAAACGAATTAATTAATTTATGTTGTTACAAAAAATAATTATTAGTCTTTTATCAATTTTGATTATAATTAATTTAATATTATTTTATTTAAAAACATCTTTTTTTATCAATCTTTTTATAATATCTATTTGTTTTTTTCCTATTATATATTCAATTTTTTACAATTATATATTTATTTTTTTTACTTTTTCTATTATTTTAAACAAAGAACAAAACACATTAGAAAATAAAATAAAATGATAAAAGGATTAAATATTTAGTTTTTGAAACAAAAGGGACTAATTAATTAATTTTTTAAAATTAGAGAGACTAATTTATAATTCCCTCCATTTTATGTTATACATTACATTATTACTTAATTTTCTGTTTTGTTTTGTTTTTTTCCTCTAAATACGTGTTCTCTTTAAACATGAATTCAAGTTTTTAGAATATTAGTTCCCATGCTACAAAACTTGGAATAGTCCTAATTTACCACATTGTAACACGTCTTTCAATTTCTCTATGCCCGTAACAGTGGTTTGTTTGGTCAACTTAATTAAACGTTAAGATAATGTCATGCTTCTTATGGAGACTAAGACGATGTTCGATAAAATTAAAAATTAAGTATTAAATTTTAAGTGTTAAATAATTAAATATTGAATATATTGTTGATAATATTTATTGAAAATTAAGCGTTGAATATAATAAGGTTGTTTGATAAGTACTCTTGATAAACATATTAAAGCTATATACATGATAATTGTAACCTTGTAATTGTAACATAATATTTTTTAACACAAAAAAAATATATATACATAGATGTGTTTGTGTGTAGAAATAAATAAATAAATAAATATTCAATAAAAATTATTATTAATAAAAAATTAAATACGATTTAAGATAGCATTAATTGTCGTATCATGCGCAAAATAAATGAAATCTCAAGTACTAATCAATTCATTTGTAATTTAATCTCACAAATTAATCATAAATGTTTGATCGAGTTCATGCTTGCACCCCTCCTCTCATGAATGGTATTAAATTTGCAGCAACATTTGGTGTTTGATGCATCACATAATCGTCATCAAATTATTTTAAAAAAATTATCGGTAATAATTGTTTTTTCAAATATAGTTATGTATTACAACACATGCAACAACAATATCTCTCCGAACTCGCAAATGGGTATGGAGTCATTGCCTTTAGAATTAGAAACCTTACTTTTAAAATACCAAATGCTCATTTAATAACATTCCCTTATTTTACATATGCATGATTAAATGCTTCTTCTTTTGATCTTAAATGATGACCATTGCGAAAATCGGATAACCAATATCGTGTATTATGATATGGTATCATAAACCCTCTAGTATGTGTATATGTAGCATCACAAAGATAATATTTATCTACTATCAAATATTAATCTAATAAATTACGAGAGGGGCTTATCCGAGGTTACTAATTTAAGCAAGTAGATGACATGCAAGTTATGGAAGTCACGCTTAACAAAAGAACAATACGGGCAAAAAAAAAAAAAAAATACAATTTCACTCTTGAACTTCCAAACCATGTCTTTAGTTATATCACATGCTATGAACTAACAAAATCATTTTATGTTAATAGAGACTAGTATCACTTGTTTTATCATAAGTAAAACACGTTTACCAAGAAACTAAAAAGTGAAAGACACCAAATCAAAGTTCGAGAAAACAAGACATATATACATTATGAATCTACTTGGCATTAAAATTTTGAGAGGTAAGGCCATGACAATTCCTTTATGAAATCTAAATGACTTGCTCTCTAATTATTGGTGCGGTAAAAGATTATCAATAGGATGTCTTTGTCGAAAATGTCACCTTGTCCTCTTTCCCCATCCTATTACCTCAAGTCCCAGTTCTCCACAATTAGGTTATTGAGCTTATGCGGACTCATCGGAGCTACTATTGGAGAGGTTGCGGAATTGGCTGCATGCTTTCTTCACCTTCCCGCCTTTCTCTTAGAAGAATTTCTCTATGATAAACCCGATTGTCAAGTGCCACCAATTGTTGTGATGAGCTTTTCAATCATCTAAAGATCCTTTAGGGTTATAAGAATATATGAGGATTATATAGTCATATTTAAAATGTTTTAAAAATCTTCTAACTAAGCATATTAATCAAAAAGTTTTAAGTTAAGAATTTTAACTTACCTAATTAAGTAGATTTTAATTGAATTTAAATTTTAAATATGAGATTATTTAGATTATCAAATAATTTTTTTTTATATTAAGTACTATAACTTAATTTTTTAAACTACTTCAATAAGTTATGAAACACACCCTAAGTTTAACTTAAATGAAAACTTGGCATGGTCCTACATTACTACCCAAAAACTAAATATCTAGAATATTAGTTCCCGGGCTAGGTGTGTGAGATCACGCGCTTGGCTACTAGTTGGCCAAGCTAGGAACATAAGAGGCTAACACTAGGCGTTGGCCAATTTGCATGCCAAGCTAATGTCGGTGGGCGGTGCCTAAGGTGCATGTGAGGCCAATGTTGGGCATTGGTCGGCGGTAGAGTTAGGCCAACGCTAGGTGTTGGCCGATAGATGGGCTAGGCCAACACTAGGTGTTAGCCAATTGGCACGCCCATATGCGAGGTTAAGCCTACACAAGGTACAAGGCATAACCATGTCTTGACCGAGCCGACTGTGAGCCTTAAAGGCCTAAAAGCCACTAGGCCTAAGGCTAAAAATCTAGAAAAATTTTAATTATTTTATAAAATGAATAAAAATTATAGATTTATAATTATAATAAAATGAAATATGTTTCATTAATGTTTATTACATGTATCAACGTGATTGAAATATGACTGAATGATATGGATGAGTTAACTTGTTTTTGAGAATGTATGTTTGTAATTTTTTGGTTAAATAGAGGTTATGTGTCATGCCTTCTCTTTTATTCCAATGTATTTTCTCTTCTTATCTTACTCTTTTGGAATGTAAGTCGAGGTTTCGATTCAAAAATCATAAAAAGTAAAAGATATATTAGTAGAGCATATGCGGGAGAATAAGCTAAGAAAAGAATACAAATCCAAAAAAGATGTAACAATTCTTCGCCTAGGTTCTTAACCTACCGGTCTTCTTATGGCTCGAGGGGACTAGTATTAAAAATCAATTATCATTCATCGGTTCTTGAATCATGTATGTTTAGTATGTATGATATTATGAGATTGAACTCTAGTATGCATAATAGAATTAATTTGATTAATTAAAGGATGAGACCTTATAATATAAAATCCTTCAAACAAATATCGAGTTATATGCCTTCCAACATTATAGAGAGAGAACTCTATAGTCATTGTTGACTTGTTGAGATAACTTAAGGTCATTTCTTCCTCGAGAGAATCAAATCATATGCCATAAGATGTCATCGAATGTTTAGGTCCAACTTGAAATAAATTGTTAGGCTTATTGAGATAACTCAAAGCCCAATAATTTTATAGGCAAAAATTGATATTCACATAAGATGTAAGATGACAAGGAGTTGTCATACCAATGAGATTATGAATTACATTAGATGTAATTAGTAAAAAGTTACCTACCTAATCCTTTATTGTATAACTTATTGAGATAACTCAAGGTCAATACATGTTTGTGGATGAGATTCTAACCCACTTGTGGATGAGATTCTAACCCACCAAGAAAAATGATCAATAAGTTTTCTTGAGTCCTATATTGAAGGTTATAAGACTTGAAGAAAACAATAGAAGCGAATATATAATTTACTTCTTAATTTATTCTTTTGTTTTATTAATGTAAATCAATTAACTAAAGCTGTACAATTTTCTATCTTGTTAGGTTATTACATAGTATAACTAGTAATATATCGATTTGATCAATCATTGATAAAAGCAATGCCTTTAATTGCATAAACATTCTTTATTGAAAAATGAATATGTGGATAGTCCTCCAATATAAGAAGATTCTCTATACGATATAGACTCTTTTCCCGACTAAACCTCCTCGGGATCGAGCTGAAACTTATACGAGCATGACTCGAGTATAAAGATGATATTATCACTGCTCGTAGCATCATACTTGCTCGCTATTACATTGGAACACAAGTGCCATCATAAAGCAACGATTGCCTATGATATCATAGTAAAGCTGAAAAATCTATTTGAGGAGAGTACCAAGCATGAGCATTATGAGATAGCCAATAAGCCTTTTAGAGCCATAATTCATCAAATTCATCATGTTAAAAACAAATATTTAATTTTAGGATAATTAAGGAATTTGAGTCAACCTAACGAGTCTTCTATTTAATAGGAATAGATGTTAGTCTCGACACCTCGGTTAAAAAAATCAATTAAGGTAACTACAAGTCATATATCATTAGTAATTAGGTTGTTTCTCGACATATTGATCATGTCAAGACTTTATTGGATTCGATATTAAATTAACGAAACTCTTGGTTTTGAAGCTCGACGCCAATTTAGTACAATGTCACAATAAAAATAAAAATAAAAATAATTTGATTTAGATAATAGACAAACTTAGAACTAAATTTAGAAAATAATTTAACAAAATAAATTCGTAGGAGATACATTTTTAGAATTAGGAGGGAAATGATATCTTTTTTTTTCTTTCAAAAATAATACCTTTTGATGATCAATATCTTCTCAAAACCATAACCAACTTCTTATTCGTAATATCTGAATCAAGTGCTTTTTCTTTCTAGGTTTTTTTAGTTTACTTTAATACTAAGTGGCTATTCCAAAATATATGCTAACTCTTGTCTCCTAAAATAAATAATTTTTTATAATTTATGTATTTATTTATTTAACATCTTTTCAATAACAACAATATTATATATGAAATAAGTGTTCTCTGGTAACAGATACTAAAAATTTATTTTAATATAAAAAGTAAACTCGCTAATCATACTTTACATGTGTCAAATCTCAAAAATTAGGTACTTAATATTAGTTCTCTTGCTAATAGGAATTAATTTAATGGTAGATCATTGCTTCTATTTTATAAAAAAAAAAAAAAAGAATTTGAGAGGCGACATTGTGGTCTTTTATTGACGGTAACTCTGTTTTGTAATTTCTATTTATAAAAATATCTTAAACTTCAATTTTGATATAAATACAATAAACACGTAATGGGAGTTTGGAATAGCCTAATTGCTTGAAAATAAATAAATAAATAAATAAAAACAGTAGTCCTATTTTTTACCGGTTTTGGAGAGGTAAAAGACAAAACCCTAGCATCTCTCGGTTTCCCCCACCCAACCAAAAACCTCTGTTTTTCACATTCACCCCCAAACTGCCCCTCTTTCTTTGTGGCACCAAGCAGCAGTGTAGTTTTCTTACAAGGCCAAGGTGTCCACCAGACACAACCCTCTTTGTTTCGCACTCTTTCTCTCTTCTTGCCTATTGGATCCCAATCAGTTTTCCTCAAAAACCCCTCAATTATTTCCTCATATAAAATTTATCCTTTGATCGTCTGTCCCTCTTTTTCCTCTACCGGATTTTGAGGTAAACCTCTGCTTCTCTATCTGTTTTTTCTTTTCTGGGTTTTAGCTTTTAAGCTGTATTTGATTATTCTCGATGTTACTAGCTCTTGCTTAACTTGTAGGATTTTACTTGAAAGATTCTTGCTTTGCACTGCATAATCCAAATCCTCATCTGGGTTCTCTTCAAAATTACGATTTTTATTAGTGGATAGTGAATTTGGATGGATGGCTCTTTGTTCATGTTGGTATATTTTCTTAGAGTTAACGTTTTGGTTTCTGTTCTTTGATGTTAGAAATTGTTATTCAAGTTGTCTGTGGTATGGTGGATTGGTTTTATAGTGACGTTTGTTTCCTTTTGGATTGTTGTTGAATGTTGTGGTGTTTTTCTTTGAATTGTTGGTTTGTTTTGATAGCGTTGAATGTTTTTTTAACTTAATGGATTGCTTTTAGGGACCAATGGGGAAAAAGGCTAATAAGAAAAAGATTCGGCCACCGCCAAAGGAGAGGCGGGCTGCTGGCCATTCTCCCAAGAGTGTGCCCCAACAAACAAATCTCAATGTTGAAGATGTTGATGGAGTTACTGTAGTGAAAGAGAGAAAATTGTGTTCTCACTTCGACAAGGGTTTTGATGCAAATAAATTGTCGGAGAAAATTAGGTCTTTGGATTCATTTAGGTGTGAGGATTGTCGAGAAGGTCTTGGTGATAGGAAGGGGGCTAAGGGGAAGGGTAAACAAGCTAAGAAAAAAGGAAGCTGTTCGGTTGATTCAAAGTCGGAGTCGAAAGCCATTTGGGTTTGTTTACAATGTGGGCATTTAGCCTGTGGAGGGGTTGGTTTGCCAACCATTGCTCAGAGCCATGCGGTTCGTCATTCCAAGCAGAACCGTCATCCTTTGGTCTTCCAATGGGAAAAACCTCAACTTCGATGGTGCTTCCCATGTAATACACTAATTCCTGTTGAGAAAACAGAGGAAAATGGTGAGAAAAAAGATTCTGTGTTTGAGGTTGTAAAGATGATCAAGGCGAAATCGTCTGAACAGTCATCAGTGGATGTTGAGGATGTGTGGTTTGGAAGAGGCAGTATCATTAGTGAACTTAATGCAGAAGGCACTGTAGCAACCGGTTTAGAGGGAATTAGTCATGTGGTGAGAGGCTTGGTTAATCTTGGGAACACTTGCTTCTTTAATTCAGTCATGCAGAATCTTCTAGCTATGAACAAGATGCGTGAGTACTTCTTAAAGGAAGAGGTATCTTTTGGACCTTTATCAAGTTCCTTAAAAAAGCTATTTACCGATCTAAAAGCTGAGACCAATTCAAGGAATGTAATTAATCCGAAACCCTTTTTTGGGTCGGTTTGTTCCAAGGCTCCCCAATTTAGGGGGTATCAGCAACAAGATAGTCATGAATTGCTGCGCTGCTTACTTGATGGGCTGTCTGCTGAAGAGTTGACTGTTAGAAAGCGAAGAAATGCTTCCGAGGAAGATGGCATTCCACCAAAACATGGTCCTTCATTTGTGGATTCTGCTTTTGGGGGTCGAATTTCTAGCACTGTTTGTTGTGTAGAATGCGGGCACTCCTCAACTGTGCATGAGCCATTTCTAGATCTCTCACTTCCTGTTCCAACTAAGAAACCTCCAACCAAAAAAGTCCAACCAGTCTCTCGAGCAAAGAAAACAAAGCTGCCTCCAAAGAGAGGGGAAAGGTCCAACCCAAGATCAACAAAAATACAGATCCAGTGCCAGCTCAAAGTATTTCAAACCCATCAGTCCATAGTGATTCTCTATGCCAAACACAGTCAACTGCGAGACTCTCAGAAAATGTGGTAGCTTCTTCAGACAATACTCGACTACCAGATCCCACTGCCCCAACTGCTGTGGTAGATGTAAGTGGTGTAGTTTCACAGAATTTGATGGCTGTTATTGAATCTGATAGTAAGCAAGCTGTTGAGACTACAATGGAGCAAACAGCAAGTTCATTTGACGACTTCTGGATGGATTATGTTGGACCAGAAACTAAATCAGATGGGCATGATTTTGCTAAAGAAAATAATGATCTTGCAGCAGGTCAGCAAATTGGGGACAAAGTTAATATTCCTGATGATGGCTTAACAGAAACTTGTCAGGCTTCTTCAATTGATGGGGCACCAAATCAAAAACCGGAATCTTCTTCTGTTAATCCTTGGGAAGAGGAGGTTCCATTACAGGTTCAAAGCTCTGAAGTTCTTCTGCTTCCATACAGAGAAGAGGGCTTTACTGACAAGGAGATTATGAAAGGAGAATCTGAGGCTTCCTCATTGTTTGTGGGCTGCGGCCAAGATGAAGCGGAATTTGATGGCATTGGTGACTTATTCAATGAGCCTGAGGTTTCTGCAGCTCCTGTTGCAGGGCCCTCTTTACGTAATGAAGTTGCTTTACCGAGTTTGACAGCAGGAATTAGTAGTGAGTCTGATCCGGATGAAGTTGACGATTCTGATTCTCCAGTGTCTGTAGAGAGTTGTTTGGCTCATTTTGTAAAGCCAGAACTTCTCTCAAATGATAATGCTTGGGAATGTGAGAACTGTTCAAAAATCCTGCAACAGCAAAAGTTGAACGCAAAGAAGAAGCAATCTAAAATATCTCCAAAAACTTCATTAAATGGAGGTGAGACTCAAATACAAAGTGATTTGGTGAATTTAGACAAGGGCATCTCATACTCCACTGAAGTTGGAAACTCACAGAACGGAGATGTTATATCTAATAACCTTCTCAACTCCACACCTGAAGTCCTTGTTTCAGGTAATGATTGCTCAAATAAAAAACTCATACAATCTGAAATTGTTCAGACTGAGATGGAACCGTTTATTTCTCAAAGTGAAGAAAGGAAATATGAGATGACTGTATCACAAAGTTCTGGTTGCTATGAATCTTGTAATGGAGAAACTTTGAGGGGTCCACCTGTTGATTCTTGTAGTATTGATGAGACAAGTGGTTCTGGATATACCACGGCTAAAGATGAGCAGACTGACTCCAACTTCGCTGGAAATTGTGAATCAGATGTAAATGAAGATGAGGATAAAACTTTAAAGAAACTGAATGTAAAGAGGGATGCAACTAAGAGGGTCCTTATTGATAAGGCACCGCCTATTTTAACCATTCATTTGAAGAGGTTCAGTCAGGATGCTCGTGGTCGTTTAAGTAAATTGAACGGCCATGTTAACTTCCGAGATGTACTTGATCTTAGACCTTTTATGGATCCCAGGTACCTATCATTCAGAACTATCTACGATTTTCACTATAAATAATTTGATTTCATAGGCCCTTTGTTTTCTCATCTTGCTGGCCTTTGCTGTGAAAGCTCTGAAACCTTTTACCTTAAAAGCTATATGTTCTTACACGCCACAATCGTTTTGCAGCACATATAACTGACTATCTTGTTTCTTTATGTAGTTCTAGATAATTTGGTCTTATTTTATTGATGCATTCACTGTATATGGTAATTTAACTGGTTTAATTGATGGTAAAAGTTATATTACTACAATTGGGAATTTTAGGTTCAGCATTGTGAGAAAGGCGACATGAGGTGTGTTATAGCGAAGGTGGTTCATGATTCTGCAGAGTTATGGTCCCTTTCATGACAAGTGATAGTAATGTCTGAGAACAGCAAGTAATTTTGCTGCATTCGAGCTATTTTTCTATTGAGTGGAACTACATTAATGTTTCTGGCCTGATGCTTGCAATCATATGTATATCCTCATTATTTATGTGTTATGGATCGTCAAGATCACACTTTTGAAGAGATATTTATTATCAAATTGAGCTTTTTACTGGGAAAAATTGGAAATAGATAGGTTTTTCAGAGGTTGTGAACTGTCTCTAGGAAAGAAAATTGTGAACCGTCTCTTTTAAAGAATATGAAATGGACAAATATTTCATTAGATATAAATAAACAAATAAGAAACTTGTGATCTAATTATATATCTCTACGTTGACTCTTGTTACTAAATGGAATTTGTTAAGTATTTGTGATGTTAAAATGTTACTAAGTGGATTTTGTTAAGTATTTGTGATGTTAAGATAAGCTATCAATAGAACTAATTTTCTCTTGGGGTCTACCGTATGCACTCGCTGTGATGCAATAGCTGCCTAGATCATGTTTTCAATGGCTAAAGTGAATTTCATGAATTCTAGTTACATCTCATGCGGGTTATGTTAAAAGGCACGAAGTTTTATGCCTGATTTGATTCCTAAATTAATTTCCTCCACATGAACTTTGTTTTGCGATGAAAATTGTCATGTAATTAACTACAATATCTACTTTGTTGAGTATTTACAGACATGTTGACACAGAGAGTTATGTATATCGCCTGCTTGGGGTGGTTGAGCATTTAGGAACAATGAGGGGAGGTCACTACATTGCATATGTCAGAGGCGACGAGAGAAGCAAAGGCAAGGCTCATAAAGAACATGGGGGTTCTGTTTGGTACTACACCAGTGATACCCATGTGCGTGAGGTTTCTCTGGAAGAAGTTCTTCGTTGCGATGCTTACTTACTATTTTATGAGAAAATGTCATATTGATTTGTTTTTACTTGTGATTCTTCAATTCGGGATATACAGCAAATCCCAAAGGGAGGGAGAGAAACACAACTTGAGAAGGAGAGTGTACAACAACCATTACCGTATATTTTGATACCCAATTTTTTTGACATGCAACGAGCTCTAATACGTACATTATGAAATTACATCATGAGAAAATATTGTTTCTCTGTTTTCTTTTGTGTTCCATTGTCCAGAGACTTTTAGTTGCTTTTATTAGACCAACAATCAGCAACCTGTGTATTATCAGCTGAGACGGTTTTTTGAGGAGAGGATGATGTTACGAGTCTCCTCTCTCTCATTCGTGTCATAGCAATTTTTTATGGTTTGGCTGCTGTCAAAGTTCCTTAAAATCCATGTCTGTAGATTGTTGCGGGGCTTTATTGTTCAAGTTTGGATTCTTTGCAACATGGCTGCATCTGTGTAGCTCGTGTTATTACACAGGTTGCAGATGGTGTCTTGGTCTAATAAAAGCAAGCCCGTATCTAGTTATGGATTCATAGCCGTAGGTAATAATGCTAATTGTATTGTTATACCAGGCTGCAAGAATTGATCAGAACTGAGGTTAGCTTCAGTGACAGCTTGATATGGTGGAGTTGCCATTTCCATAGCTGCATATTTAGTGTCTGGAGGATGACAATGTCGCCTTCGGTTTTAAAGAAACATTGTGATTATATAGAAAGAAAACGATGATTATTGTTATTGTTATTATTATTATTGAATTCCCCTTATTTTGTGATACATATTATTTAGATCACCTTGGGACAACAAAGTCGCTTTGGCCGAGTGGTTAAGGCGTGTGCCTGCTAAGTACATGGGGTTTCCCCGCGAGAGTTCGAATCTCTCAGGCGACGAAATTCGAATGCTTTTTTTAATTATTATTTTTAATATTAATTGTAAATTACAGTGACTACCCTTAAAAATTCAGTTTGTACCCAAGCCACTCTTAATAATGATATAAAAATACCGAGAGTATTTTTGGTGAAAAAGGATTTTTTTGTAATATTCACTTAAATTTGTAATATTTTTTTTTTTTGGGCAATTACTCCTCTGAGGTATAATGAAATTATTATGACCATTCAAAAGTTTGAAAATATTAGAAAAAAAATCCATTTTGTACCCAAAACCCTTAATGTTAAGGGAAATAATTTAAAAATATTGAGTATTTTTGGTACCAAAAAAGATTGTTGTAATATTCAATTAAATTTGAGGGATTTTTTTTTTTTTTTTGTAATTTTTTAGTAAGTACTATAATTTCATGATATCTCAAGAGTTAATGTAATTTACCCTTAATATTTGTTAGATCTTTAATCTTTTCGTTTTGCACCTCCAATATTTTTTAAACAAATCTTATATTTCCTTGAAAGTTGAAACCCTTCCATTTTGCAACTGATCATATAAGTTAAAATAAAAAAATTATAAAAAAAATTTACTCTGCTTTTATTTTTCATACCAATTTTTTTTTTTTTAAGATCTTAACTGGACAAATATTCTTATATCAATATTCTTATATCGATTGAAATTAAATTCATCTCAAATTGACCATTAAATATATTATTCATATCTAAATCGGTATATATATTAAAAATAATATATTATTTTTTTAGCTCTTAACAATAAAAGTGTCTTTGGATTAATTTTTTTTGTATCAATTCAAACTAAATCCTTCTCGAATCAAATATACAACATATTATTCATATCTAGATTCATATATTTAAAAGAAATTTTTTTTGAATTCCTTTATGATCCAAACTTTTATGATAATATGAGAAATAAAAACTCATTTATCAAACAAATTAAATCTTCATAGGTTTATTGTTCATATTAATGGCTTCTTATATAAATTCAAAAGAGTGGATTAATTATATTTCAATTTCTCATGTACCAATACCTGCATGTATACAGTCAAAATATTTCTCTTACTTTGTCGAGAAGAATCGCAAAGCTAGCTTTTTTTCTTTTTCTTTTTCTTTTTCTAGCTCTTGCCTGTTCTTAATTACCATGGCATTATGATATCAGAATGAAAAAAGAAAAAGAAAAAGGAAAAAAAGGAAAGGAAAGGAAAATCCTATGAAACGAACAAGTACAGCAGAGTAAATTGCCTTGCTTTTTCAACATCATTCAAAACGAAGTGTTCTTGATGCTTATTATTATATAAACAGACAACAAAAAGAAAAAGAAACAAAAGCCCAAAAGAAGCATTAAAAAAAGAAAGAATCCAGCTTCCATGTCTTGTAATCTTCTCTTTCTCAGTCTCTCTCTTGCTTTACCAACTAAACGCATCACATATTCTCTAAACCACCACCCTATAACACTCTAGTCTCTTCAATGGCAAAAGCACTCTCTAACAAACTGTTCTTTATCTTCTCTGCTATTCACGTTCTTGGGAGTGCAGTACTTTTGCCAGTGGCAGTAGTGGAAGGGGCCTGGTGCGTGGCAAGAAGTGACGCAAGTAGCCAAGCCTTGCAAACTGCACTTGACTATGCATGTGGTTCTGGCGCTGACTGTTCTCCGATACTGTCTGATGGCCTGTGTTTCCTGCCGAACACAATTCAGGGTCATGCTTCCTATGCATTCAATAGCTACTTTCAAAGGAAAGGAATGGCTGCTGGCTCTTGTGACTTTTCTGGCACTGCTAGTATTGCAAAAACCGACCCCAGTTAGTCCTTTTCCAGTTCTCTCCAGCCTAGCTTTATTCTTTCCTTCTGTGAGTTTTGCATTAATATTGGGTGGTGGTTGTTTATATTCTGCTTTAATCTTCTTTTGGTTTTGTGTTGCAGGTTATGGATCTTGTGTGTATCCATCTTCTCTAAGGTATGACCAACCTTAACTTGGCCCTTCATTCTGCAAAATATTTTCTTTTGAATTTTATGAGTTTTTTGGGCTATTAAATCCTTCTAAACGAGGTAAGTAATTTGTTTTTTAAGGCTTCTTCAAGCATGTTATGGTGGGGATTTGTGAACAAACATAAAGGAGAAAATAGCATTAATACACTGTTTTAGTGCACTAAAAATATAGTTCATAAATGAATTAATATGATAATTAAGCATGACTTCATCTTCACGTTAAGGATTCTTTCTGTTCTTTTAATTTTATTTAATAGCTACATCAGAAAAATTATACCCATTAATAGTTTTCTAGCACTGCATGCATTATTATGACGCAAATTTCATTTTTTCCATACATCTTCATGTTCTCATGCAACTTGCAAGTGACCAACCATAGTTAAGGAAAGACAAGACAGGTTCTTGTTTTGCAAAGGCTTATGAAGGGAATACATTACAAGTGTCCTTCTGCATGTAATAAAGGTTGGATCAACAATATAACAACAATCCAACGGCTCAAAAATTCCTACAATTGTCTCGATTGGTTTGACCTATCACATTGTCTCTTGGGTCACTCATTTTGCTGGTACTGTACCAATCCCAGGCTCTGTCAAATGTTTTGACAAGACAATACGCTTTTATTAGTTTTGAACCGTTGGATTAGGCCTCTAGTCCAACTATGTGTAATGGTCAGAATCCTAGAGATATGAGAGAGTGAGGCAGACACGCAGGAAACCAATGACTCTTTCTGCTGCTTGCTGTAATTGTACAAAGTTTTGTCTGACCCATGTAACTTGCTATGGTTAATTTGAAAACTAGGCCTAGGCCCCTCCAAAAGTAACCACTGTCTTTTAATTGGACAGGTACTCAAAGAAGTAATGCTTGAAAGTTTTTTGTCCTACATCTTTATTACAGATTGCACCATGTTTGAAAAGCAGCCAGAGCTTTTGTTACGTAATGCTCTCTCTGCCATGCTAAAAACTTACATTGCTTCTGAACTTTGTGAAAGTGATGCTGATTAAGGCAAAATGTGAGCTGTAAGGCTGCTAGCCTTGTAAGCCTAGGTCATGGGAGAGTGGGAAACCTACTCACAACCCACCACCCTTTTCATTTACAGAAAGAAGCATGTACAAAGTATTGGCTATGGTGGTTAACCAGAATAGAAATCATTAACTGTTGTGAGAAGGCAGGGGCATGCATCTTTTTATGTTAGGTTGATATAATTGGAAACTAAACTTTATCACATCTACTTAATGCTCGCACTTGATTGGAGCGTTTGATTCAATAACGAGAGAGAGAGAGAGAGAGGATATACTACCATTCTATGATAACTTATTCCAAGGAAGGAAAAGTGGGTGATTATGGAAAATATTCAAAGATGCTTGTATGGGTGTATTAATTAGTAGTCTAAAGAATCTACTTTTAGAACCATGTTTTGTGGCTTTGTGTTTTGTGTAGACAACTCTGGTGAATTGTGCATTATGACAGCATAAAATTCTGACAACTCAGGTGAATCTTTTCCTAGGGAACAAACTCATTGCATGTCATGTCAGAAATTGTTCTCTTGTTTTAGATCTTGTGACAGATAGGTGCTAGTAATCTAGATTTGGCTAATAAAATAAAACTATCCCAGAAAAACACATATTATAATCATCTTAGGAACTTGGTTTGCTGTGCTGTTCTGTTTAGTTCAACAAAGTTTTTCATGCAATGTTAAGTGACTAACTGCATGAATGATTTGAATTTCCAGCGCTGCCGGAGGGACAGGTACAACACCAACAAGCACAAACCCCAACATACAAACTCCGATGACTGGTGATGGAACCACTGGTCTGAACCCTGGAACGCCCCCCTGCCGGACAATTCCAAAGCTTCTTTAGGGTTTACGGGCACCATAACCTTACTGCCTCTGTGCCTTCTGCTTGTTCTCTCATTTATATTTCGGCCCATGTAGTCTTTTACGCCAGAGCCGTAATATTGCTCTGGTGTGAAAGAAATAGCTTGCACAGTTTTGTTAGAAGCTCGAGCTGAGCTCTCTTCCTTGCCACCAACTAGCTTCCTGTGGTCCTAGTCCTCTACTTCTGCCCTCTGTAATGTGGAGGGGTTGTTAGTAAGGCTTTAATTGGCTGGTATATAAGTTGTTTTCTACTCATTTTAGTTGCAAGGAGTTTTGGGTAGCTAGCTGGCTACTAACACCTCTATGGCTATTGTAGTCCAGCCTTTGTAGGACTAAAAAATTGATTCAATTGTTCAATCTGGATTTGTGAGTTTATAATATCATCAATGGACAAGGATATGTGGGAGCATTTCATCCATTGGCCTTCTCTTGATAGCATTTGATCTTTTAGAATATTTGCCCACTTAAAACTTGCTAATTGAAGTGTTGTCGTTATACTCATAGTTTTAAATGATGGCCGTTATGTTATATAATAACCGTTATATAACAGTTGTGAAGCATCCGTTACCGTTATTTTAATATTATAGTAAGTTTTGATCTACGATAACAACCCTCACTACCTTTTCAACTCTCTGTTACTTAAAACTATGGTTGCACTGAATGCAATGAAATTTAAAAATGAAATTGTAGAACTATGCTACTGTCGGGGAACATGTAATATTCTTCAAATATGATTGTTATTCAAATGCCTGCCTCCCCTTCTCCTACAACTGTGGGGAGACTTATAATTGGTGGGGCTGAGGCAGTGCAGGGTAGTAAGTACTGATGGAGGAGCCAAAATGCATAAATATGGCCAAGGCAGAGCTGGTTGCACTTAGTTTCTAGCTAAATCCATCTGCTCCTCATCTGATGATATCGGGTTTCTTTTTGTTTTCAACCATATGCAAACCAAACTATCCGGCAAACAGCCGAACGCTACAGGTAACTAAGATGGCTTGCCTACAGTGGGAGCCAGACTAGTCTTTGATTCCTGAATATGACCATTAAACATGGCTTATTAAGTAGAAGTAGGTTGCATTAACTACAATCTAGCTTTATATTAGTCGAATTCTGGATCATACACCACTGAATGCTATAATGAAGTCCAGAATTAGTTGGCCGTGTTGGGCTAGATCAAAGCAGTAAAGCATACATACTCTGCCGCTGACCCTGGATTATGAATGCCGATCAATTTTCAGGCAAGGTTCATAACAGCCATTGCATTAAATAAAAGAGGTCATAATTCTAAAATTTTGAGGTCAAATTAGTTGATGTTAATCGCGTTGCCTGCATAAAGGGACATTAGTTTCAATACTATGCCGGTATGAAGGGGCACTGGTTGCTATTCTCAATAATACTTAGCAAACTCACGGCCTGGAAGTGGTATAGAACATACTTAATTACCTTTGGCTAACCAGGCACCTACCAGGTTCCCTAACTATGTAGAGGATATCTCCAGCAATTTCATAGAAGTCTCTGTTGCGATGCCAACTCCATAAAGCATGAGTCTCATTTTTCACCTGCAATAGACGTATTGCTCGTTAGTTTGTGCTCTGAATTAGCAATTGTAGCAGAACTACTTGTCAAAAATTTTAATTTGGTGAGTGGTAACTCGATGAATATAGAAATAAAGATTCAATATATTCAGTTGATCCTTGGGACTCTTTGGCCAAAAACTATGAACTTGTAAAGTCGAAGGCTACTTCATTATTTTAGGCAGTAAATGTTGAAAATATTGATACAAAGAGATGCTGAGAGAGGGAGGGAAATAAGACCTCTAATATCCCATGACCAAAGCTGCTCTCTCTGTAGGCACTGTACTCAGGCTGCCTGTCCCAGCAAAAGCTACCAGCAGCAGGGCCTGATGTAAAATTGAATCCACAGAAGCCACCGATATCTACGTCTGGTGTGGTGGATGGCTCTGGACACTCGTCAGGGTCATCGGCATGGGCAACTGCTATGTCCTCTCGACTTCCACCATCACCAACTGTGATATAAACCGGACCACATGGATCTAAAGAGTAGTTATATACTCGGTTTGACCTCTCGTATGCATGCACCTGCTTGGTTTTTCAAGATCAAACAATTATTATCTCTTCAATTAACTTATTTGTTCCAAAACTAAATAAAATCCATCCACTTTTTTTACTGATTGTAAGACAGGTCATGGACCACATATGTCAACCATCAATGTTCCCAGTATACTACATTAGATCTCTTCTTGCTTGAAATGGAACTTGTATCCCATAGAAGACACTATTTCCCTGCTCCAACATTTTATTTTCTAGCCACAGACTGTTATATATTTATGACAGAAGGTCTATGCAGTTACTATATATTATCAGGAACTTGCTAAAAGAAACGAATGCTATCTATCCTCTTGCACCCAGCTAACTAACTAGCAACTTCACATTGCCGATAAGGAAATGCATATAGATGCATAAGACTTTTTTTTTCACACCCAGACAACGGTAAGTAAAAACTTGTGCAAATACAATAACTAAAAAATTTAAAAAATAATAATAAAAAATCATTTAAATGCTGCAAAACTGCAGTGATAGAGAATACTTACATGTCCATTGAATACTATGTCTACACGATACTCATAGAGCAAGTCCTCCATTGCCACTCTCATACATTCCGCTTCTCTGTATTGTGCCTTGAATGTGCTGTACCAAGGAGGATACCAAGCAGCCACCAACCATGGGGTCACTTTCCTGTCAACATTATACAGATCTCGTTCCAACCACTCGTATTGATCAGCTGTGAAAGAAAATTTAGAGAATTTTACTATGTGGCAGCTAAACATATTCAGAAAATATATATATATATATATATATATATATATATATATTACCAGAGAAGTTATTAAGGATTACTGAAGTGATCACAGGAACCCATTACACGAATGTCATATCATGTAATGCTAATGCTAATGCAAGGCCGAGGGGAATCGGTTATATAAGCCACATAACAAAAAGAAACAGAGTTGCTGACTTTACATGATTTGTCATAATAAATATAGGGATTTAGTATCACAAAATGTATCCCTCCGGCATTGAAAGAATAGTACGCTGAGGATGATGATCCACTTTCTTCAGACGGGAATGCAAATCGAGAACTGTAAGAGACAAAAATCTGATCTCCAGCTTGCGGTTCTATCTCATGCTTCCCTCCTACCACCATGGTTGGAACATTAGCTACTAGAGGTTGCATAAACCTGGTAACAAATATACTTAATTCCATGAGCTACCCTTTATATGAAAGAATAGTTGACTAGCATAAAATAGTAGTATTTTTACCTAGTTTCCTACAAATGACTCATTTAAGATTCTCATTTTTTTCTTTTGAAGAATCAACTGAATCCAAAATAGTTGGAAAGCGCAAAAGTAAAAAGTAGGAAAGTGGAAGAAATGTTGACAAAAACAGGAAAATTTGAAAGCTGCTGCACTGTTTTAGGTTGCATGATTCCCAGAACTGTACTGTTTCTCATTTTTCATCTGGTCTTAATGAAGCATATTAGTTCAAAGTTTTTACGCTTTTGAACCCATGCTCCTCAGGTCATTATGCAAGTATTCCCCCCTCTTCTCTTCTAAATAGCTCAAGGCCAGAACTAACTATAAGTTAGTGGTTATAAGTTATAACACTGCTAAGAATTTTGTTATAAGTTGTGAAAACATCATTGAAATTTCAGTTTACATTTCAGCTAGTTTTATGCCTTTCTTGTTAAACAAAGCCTTGACCATAGCTATAAAACATTTCTATAAACTAAACTCTCAAAAGTTATGCCTGAGTATTAGAAAGGATTGCAATCTGGTAGACAAGTTTGAGCTTATAAAAGATTGGAGTTTGACCTTCCCCAATAATCCCAGCGAGGCTGGTATGTCTCGCGGATGGGAGTTCGATCAAGTGAGCAAGAGTAACAATTGTGTCCAGTTCCATTAGTGAGATACATGTCAGCATAACTTAAACCTCCGACCAAAACAAGAAGATCTGGATGGTTGCTGAGTAAATGACTGAGTGTTGTACTTGTATTGCGTGTAAGACCTAGGTCTCCCACCACTGCTATTCGATGGGGGTAATTTGTAGGACTGGATGGGGGCATAGTCCTAAAATATAACACATCACTCATTGCTGATATGTAAGGATCTCCACATCGATATTGATATAGTGTGCTTGGTTCCAACCCTGCGAAAGACACGGTAGAGAATGTACTTTAACTAAAAAAACTTCATGGTTTTTCTACTCTAAGCAGACACATACACGCCCCTTCCCTGCATTGCACACAAGAGAGGCAGATATGGTTTCTAAGGTAATATTTTAATCTTGCATCAGACTACGCATGGTTAGGCTTTCAATTGCATATAAAACTTGAACATGACAAGTGAAGTTTTTCAGCAGATAGCATTACGTAGTTTTAAATCGCGAACGGTTGAAAAAACGGTTGCGGTCGTCATCGTGGATCGTGGCTTATTATTATACTAAAATAACGGTAACGGCATGCTCCGAAACCGTTACAGAATGATCGTTATTTAAAACTAAACATACCTGTCAGGCGAACGTGGTGTATAATGCCAGAAGTGTAGTTTTCAAGCCCTTCGAAAGGGTAAAGTTGATTGTAAACAAGTGAATATCCTACTTCCTCATAGCTCATTGGAGACCCTGCCATTCCATATTGTACAAAACTATAAACTGATTCAGGATCTAATGGTTTTATGTCATCACCAATTTGGGAATCCCCTGCAGTTCAAATTATACAGCATCATTCAAAAGTTCACTAAAAAAGTAGAATAAAACTCCTAGAGCTGCAAGTATGCCGTTACATTATGATCCATTCCTACTTCTTTCTCCTAAAAACAGTTCTTAATAGAATTCAACTTGATAGAATCTAATAGTTCTACTTTCAATCTGCTCACTTACAAAATTATATTTGATTCCCCTCTCAAACTTAGTATCATAATACTCTTTGCTAATGATCTCTAATACCTTGATTTTCAGCCAGCATTAAACTGAAAACATTCTATAAATATCTAACCTTCTTGCCTTACTTACTAAAAGCAAAATTAATTTAGTCTTGTAAACGCACAAAAAAATTCACCAATTTGCAAAGCAAAACTCTATCTTTTCAATCTCAGAATACCCCTGAATTGTTATCATGTCAAAAGTCAAGCTCCAATTAGCTTCCTAGATAATTAGGCAAAAACTATTACTTTGTGTACCATCATTGCTACATCATTATCTTATTGCACTCGTTTCACTAAGAAACAAACAAGATAATGCCAAAAAAAAAAAGGTGGCAAAGAAAGGACCTGTAGTCCAAGAGATCCAAACAGAGTCATAATCAGAAGATAAAGATACAGAGACTTGTTCAGGCTCAAGACCCTGAACAGTCCTTCGAACTTGAGGGTCGGTGTCTGGCAAGTCAATGGCATTGCCATGATACGTCTTGTTATCAAAAGGAACTGTCACTGGCTTGAATGGTCCTTCAAGTGTCGTTGGAAAATCAGCATTAACAATGACTAATCTCCATAAAAGTGAGAGAAATTGTGGAAACAGGAGAAATGAGAGTAAACCCATTTGTTGGTTTTTGTTTTTTCGCAATTTTGCAAAGAACTGAAGAAGTAAAGTCACTTGGCTTGAGACTTGTGAGGGAGAGAGACATGGACAAGAATGGAAGGGAACGAGGGAAGCGATAAAGACAGAAAATAAAGTCGATATCTCACCTCAGCTCATGCACTGAAAGTTCACGAGTCCTTAGGCTGCTCTAATTATGGATCATGCGCATGTACTGTTACGCATTCACATTCACATGTACTGTATACCTAAGACAAACTTCCACTAAAAATTAATTATTAATTATTTAATAATTAATTTTTTTTATTAATGTTCATCAGGATTAATTTAATATTTTGTTATTTTATAAAAATTTTTATATTCTTATCAACCTTTCTATATTTTATCTTTTTTTAAATAAAGCATCAAAATAAATTAAAAAATAAAAAAAAACTGCATAATTAATTTTTGAATACAAAATAACTAATTAATTCATTTCTCGAAACAAGAAAGATTACTTTATAATTTACTCTGTACAGGTAGGACAACATCTGAAATTGTTACCTAACATCCATTAGTGGCTGTTATTTAAATCTATGGATAAGAGGTAAAGTGAGGTGGTTGGTGACTTTGTGATCATGCTGCCAAAGTTCCCTCTGTGAGTTTTACAGATTAATGGTGAAAGAAAACTTAGCATGAAAATTCTGAGTTCTTTATGTTTAATCGGCGTATTACATTTCTTTAATGCGCCTAGACAAACAAGATGAGAATTTTTCACATTTTGGATCAGAATCTTCACATAAACACATCAAGATTCCAGGTTTAAGGCAATGAACAATGATAAAGGTGACTTTTAATTATTAGTGTAGTATAAATTATAGATTATTATTGAATGATAGGGAATACAATTAACTGTATATTTAACTCAATCTAGACCATCCATTTAGAAATCCGTTCGATGGACACTTGATTCTCCTCATTTCTTCTTGTATGCGTCACTGGCTTCTTGATCACAACAATTATGGGAAACCTTTTGGTCAAGACAAGAAAAGTAAGTAAAAAGTCTTCCACGATTTTGGCAACTGAAAAATCTTAAGACAACGTTTTCTAAGCACTAAAAAAGATGTTAAAAATGGCAAGAACCAAATTGTGAATGAAGTAAACATCACAAAGCATCGTCAAGTCTCAATAATAATTCAGAAATATTCAACTTAATGTTTCCATTTTGATATATCAGAAGAGTTCTGTTTTATTACCAACAAAAAATTTATCAGCTGCATGTTGTTATACATGTGGAATGTAACATTATAATGCATGAAAGAAAAGTTGCAGTAGATAATAAAAGATAATATCGATCTTGGTATTTCATCAAATAAGAAAAAAATATACATCTTGTGTTAAATCTCTTTGGTTGCTATCTGCTTCTATTTACAGTATATGGTTTGATGAAGAACAAAGTTGCAGTAGATAACAATGGATAATGTACATATTGTGTTAAGCTCTTTGGTTGCTATCTGCTTGCATTTACATTGTATGATTCAATTAAGAGCAAAAAATATGCAGTTAAGGTATTTTTATGTACTAAATTAAGTGCTTCTTTTTCCAGTTTCTTTGAAGCTTAATTACCTTCGGTTCAGTTGGGCACCTTTCAGGCTGCCTTACTATGCAAATCTGATCTCCAGGAGAGTTGTACAGGTCCTGGTTTCGGTGCCAAGTCCATAGAGCATGAGTCTCATTTTTCACCTGCAAAGTGAATATCACTGTTAGTTTTAAATTTAGCAGCCATCAATCCATGGATATATACACACATGAGTCACAGTTCAACTCCTCTCTTAGCCAGTTAGGCCCCAGCGCTAGTTCTTTATCTCACATTTATTAAAACCTTTGATTATGGCTGCAAGAGATAAAAGAAGAGTGGTACAGCATGTATCAGCATCTTGCACTGATTTAAGGATAAAAAGTTCTCATTTCCCTTTAAGCACGTAACAAACGAAATAAAATTGAAGTAAGCAATGTGTCATGCATTCCTTTGGGTACAGCCACAGTTTCAAATCGCATATGTTTGAAAAAACAGTCGCAGTCGTCATCGCAGATCGCAGCTTATTATAATATTAAAATAACGATAATGCCATGCTCCAAAATCGTTACATAACGGCCGTTATGTAAAACTATGAGTACAACATATGATCAAAGGAACCCAGAAAGATACCTCAAAAATCCCATGACCAAAACTACTTTCTCGGTATGCACTATAATCCGGCTGCCGGTCCCAACAGAAGTTTCCAGCTGCTGGTCCTGACGTAAAATTGAATGCACAGAAACCGCCCATGTACTCGTCTGGCGTGGTGGATGGATTAGGACATTCACCAGGTTCATCAGCATGTGCAATGGCCATCTTCTCTCGGTTTCCACCATCACCAATTGTGATATGAACAGGACCACAAGGATCCAAAGTGTAGTTGTATACCCGGTTCGACCTCTCGTAGGCGTGTACCTGTCGATCGATGCAGTACCGAATTCCTTAGCGCATGAAATTTGTTACAAAGACAAACAATGGTTAATGCATTTAAAGTTTTCTGCTATTGCTTAAGACAGAGAATAGAAACTGGAAATCATACAAGATAAAAACAAAGTCAGAATGATTAGAATGCTAGAAACCAGAAGAGAACTGCTGTTAGGAAAAATAAATCACCTAGAGACAGAACTTTACACTTACATGACCATTAAAGATCACGTCAACACCATACCGATAGAGCAAATCTTCCATTGCTACCCTCATACATTCTGCTTCCCTATAATGTGCCTTGTAGGTGCTATACCAAGGAGGGTGCCAGGTAGCCACCAACCATGGGGTCACTTTTCTGTCAACGTTAGCCAAATCTTTCTCTAACCACTTGTATTGAGGTGCTGTACATAATTGGAGGATCAGTTTCATTTTATGAACATGGAGAAAAAATAGATGCATCTTCTTTCCTTCAAACATGGAGCAAAAACAATGGCAATTTCTTTGCGTTCTTAAGAGAATTGGTGATCATTCCTTAATGGTAGTGAGCTGGTAGCTTTCTAAGCCAATGCATTGAAATGATCTATGAAAATTTAATGGAGGGTGAACTAGTGGAAATAGTTTGATCTGATATGTTTACCTGATTTGTTGTACGCAATGTAGCCACCGAGCATTATAAAATGAATTCCGCCAGCGTTGAAAGAATAATAGAAAGTAGAGGATGATCCACTTTCTTTGGATGGGAATGCGAATCGAGAACTGTAAGCAACAAATGTCTGATTTTCAACCTGTTGTTCTATCTCATGGTTTCCTTCTACCACCATTATTGGAACTTTAGATATTACAGGCTGCATATACCTGATAATAAGTATCGAATGGTCATTACATAATCCAAATTGCTGCTAATATGTGAAGACCTGATTTCCTTTTTAGTCTATTCAGCCAAAACAAAAATTAGCATGATTAGTGCAGCTTTTTTATGTATAAGAACTAATTAACTTGAATTGACACTTGAAGGAACAAATGGTTACTAATGCAACTTCACATGAATCAGAGTCAAACTGCAGAAGGTCATCATTCATAAATCAGGATTCTGAATAGATAAATACTTTTAAGGAAAGAATCCTTAGAAATTAATGTTGCCCCCAACAATATAAAGCAGATAAAGGTAGATTTGAGTGCCTGCACTTTATGTTTTCTGTACAGACTCTTTGAAACTCCAAACTCCATTTTTGGTTTAATCAATTTGGCATTCGTCCTGTAAATAAGAGCTTTCCTGCTAGACAACAAGAGTACTAAAGAGGAAAACAGAACACATAAATTTCAGTTAAAAAAAGAGACTTCTTACCTTCCCCAGTAATCCCAACGAGGCTGATAGGTTTCATGAATGGGAGTTTGTGAGAAAGAGCAAGAGTAGCAATCAGCCCCAGTTCCATTGGTGAGATACAAGTTAGCATAACAAACATCACCGATCAATAAAATAAGATCAGGATTGTTTGCAATCATGTGATCAAGCGTTGAAGTTGTATTGTAAGTAAGCCCTAGGTCCCCCATTATTGCAATTCTGCTAGGGTAACTCTTAGGGCCAGAAGCTGGCATAGTCTTAAAGTAGTAAATTTTGCTCATTGCTGGTATTGAAGGATCTCCACATTGATAATAATAAAGTGTGCTAGGTTTCAACCCTGCAGAAAGACATGCAACAATAAAAATTAAGCCTAAACCGAACATATAGACACATGAGATCTGAAGGAGGTCTAGAACATATGAATTTGAGCTTTCCTATTTCCATCAGAAATCATAGAAAGCCCAGATCCATAATGAATATGACTCTCTGCACTATGCGATCACATATATTTACAATGGTGAATGTTAATTTGCACATTCCTAATTCTGCCTTCCCCCGAAGAAAACAGTAACATAATCTTAAACAGGTTCCAATGAAACAGTAGTTCAGGACATTTAATGAACTAATCCTGTCATCACAATTAGTACAATACATGGCAGCAACCATACCTAGTAAAATGACAAGACAGAAAATTTCACAGGAATAACAGCAAATAACAGAGGTTGAGGCAATTGTATTCTTCAACTATGCTTGAGTTGATTATGAACAGAAAATTAGCACAAAAACAAGGAGTCCTTCTTACAATTTGTATCAATACAATGTAGATGATGAAGAGAGAACAGTAGTGCTGCAATAAAGTTGAGGCAATTGTACCTGTAAGACGGACATGGTGAATGATGCCAGAAGTGTAGTTCTGGAGCCCCACGAAAGGATACAATTGGTTGTAAACAATGGAATAACCAGTAGCTTTGTGCTGAAGTGGAAACCTTAGCTGTCCATATCGAACAATACTAGCAACCGTTTTGGGATTCAATGGTTTTATGTTGTCCCCAATTTGAAAATCCCCTGCAAATTAATCCAAAGAACATCAATTAACAAGCTAACATAGAGCAAGGAAAGACCATTTAATGGCCTGATTAATAAAGATTAAATTCAAATTATTCCCATAAATTTTAGTGCCATCCATGCATTTATACATACTTGAACTTCAAAACTGTTAATTTGATTGGATTGAAATCTCTCATTGAGATAGAAATTTGACAAAACTCCTTCAACCACTAACACACTAATATTGACTTTTTCGCTAAATAATTTCAAACAAAAACAAAAATCCATCAATACGCGTAACATCCAAAAACATAAAAGTCAACCCAAATCGATTGCTTTTTATGACATATTTCTTCGTAACCTTATCATCCATTGAAACTTAACCAAAAAAGGTCAGAAGCTTAAAGAGATAAGAGAATGCAAAGAACAAAACGATGAAATGAAGTTGAAATAGAGTACCTGTAATCCAAGAAATCCAAACAGAATCATGAGTGGTAGAGAGAGACACAGAAACCTGTTCAGGCCCAAAACTTTGAACAACCTTTTGAACTCGAGGGTCTGTATCAGGCAAGTCGACAGCATTTCCTCTGAAACTTTTATCAAGAGGGACAGTCACAGGCTTAAAGGGTCCATCAAGAGTAGTTGGTATCCCAATCCCAACAACAATATTACCAGCACTGATCAACCTTATAAACAAAACACAAAACGAAAGCAGTTCTGAAACCAAACCCATTAATTAATTTCAGGGTTTTACAGAAACTTGTGCTTTTACCATATGCATGCAAGAAATGTTACAAAGAAGGACAGACAAACCATGTTCAAATGTGATAAGATAAGGTGGCAAAAAGATTCTAAGGGAACAGGAGAAGGTTAGTTCAAGAATATGTGATAAAGTGCCCAACTATCCATCCATATATTTATATATATATTTAGAGAGTGGGAGAGAGAGGGATTGTTGAGGAGGAAGAGACAAGGTGAGACTCATGGAGGGAGAGCAGAAAACGCATCATTTGTTGACTTATTTTATGAATTTTTTTTTTTTTTTTTTCCTTTTTTGCATGTGGACAAGAAGGGAGGTATGGGAAGGGCTGGCCATCATTCTTCTGTTTTCCTTTGGTTGGTTTTCTTACGTGGGACAAACAAAATCAAATAATTTGAGTAATAGATTTTTCTTTCCTTGATTATACTGATGGCCATTTTTTAAGAGATTTTTTTTTTTGTAACTTTAGGATTTTAATTTAGGCACTAGCAAAATCTTAGGATTTTGTTTCCATTTAATATGCAATCTATGTTTAGCTTCGCTAGGATTTTGTTAATCTCGAAAGTTATTTTAATGGTTAATGAGATTTACTCTTTTTCTTAACTTCCAAGGTTGAAACATTAAGATCAGTATGAGAAATTTTATAATAAACAAGAATAATTAGTGACGTATACGGTAGTTACTTATTGGCTCATTTTAACTACTTTAAAGAGAGAGATAGACACACAAAAAGAGAAAGTAAAATAAAAAATTTGAATCGACGTGAAAATCTTCTTATTACTTTTGATGGATATGAATATAATTTCTCTTTTTTTATGTATCTATCTCTCTCCTTAAAGTGGGTTCAATGAATAACTACTATACATGTCATTAGTTATTTCTTGTGTATTATAAAATTTTTCGATCAATATCCAAGAAAATTTACTAAATTCCTTTCAATATACCATACTAATATGAGAGAAGTGCTCTTAAAATCACTTGAAGAAATACTTGGTCTCAATTAACTCTTGAATATATCAGATAATGAAGAACAAGACACGGCACCAATAATTGGATAGCAGCAGTAGCAACTGATCGTACAACAGATAGTGTTGTTATTCCTAGCCATTTAAGTGTTGTATTTATACTACAATTCTCCTTGGTATTATCTATCCTTTAACGGTTGAAACATAAAAGCACTGAAACTGTGTCTTTAAAGAGCTCAATCTTCCGATGACAAGCTCACGGTTGCTGGAAAACCACTCTCAGCCATTGACTTCAACCTCCATGTTTTTTTATGGGCTCTCCAACCCAGTATATTTATCAGAACTTTACAATTTACTTCTAAGCCATCAGTTTTTAAACAGAGATTTTCTTGCTATTAATCCTATGTTTCATCCTAAAACTAACCACATGCATAGAGATTTATTACCATTTAATTTGTTAAAGATAAAGTTGCCAAGGATGAATTACAGGTTCAGTTTATTTTTAGTCAGAATCAAGTTGCTGACATCTTGACATAGGATAGGAATTTAAAATTATATCAAGTATTCTATGTCTATCTTCTCTCGTTTGTTGCTTGTGTGCACTTAGGAGATAATGAAGGCGTGACATTAGGAGTCCTAGGAGAGGAAGAGGACTCTGTTGAAGAAGGCATAGCAGAGACTTGGCTTAACACCATTAAACAAAATAAAATAGCAATTAAACATTGAGTAATAAAAAATTGAATCTTAGGTGTTTTTTTTTAAAAAAGAAAGAAAGAAAGAAAGATGATTTACAAACAAATATTTTATATTCTAATTTACGTCTCAATTGATAAATAATAAAGTGTGAGTTCATAAATGACAAATAATTTATCTTTCATTGAAAAAAAAACATAACGGGTCCCGTTTTACTGTTTGTGTCCATCTCGTCTCGTCCCATTTTGCTTTGTTTTGGCAGATTTTATAATGAACACACACAATTTGCATAATTTTGTTTCCCAAGCAAGATATCAAATCATTGGAACTCAAAGAGAAACAATAAAAAAACATGTTCAAGCACATACTTAATTATCACAAATTACAATACAATTAATAATATATTAAATCATTTTCAACCGAATAAATACCGAATAACATAACGGGTTTGAGATTTGATGTGTAGCAAAAATGTTATATATAATGAAAATTAATGAATCAGATAAATATTAACCAATATATTTAATCTCAGTTAGCTCATTCCTCGAGTTTAATAGAGTATTAATTTTTTAATGGATGGATTGCAAATAAAGGTATCTTTTGTCTAAATTGACTCGAATTTTGTCTTTTTCCAAAGAATACCTCGCTTACTGTGTTGTTTGCCTTATGATTAAACTAATTGATTAAAATTCCATTGGTTTAAACTAAAGAACACCTTGCTTAATTAAAATTTCATTATGATTAAACTAATAATAATAATTATTATTATTTAAATACTGAAGCACATTACATTGGAAGCGTTGAACTTTGAAAACGGAGTAGCTTCGATTTCTATAATTTGACCAAGATCATAATTTTTTAAGACAATTTCTTTCTTAGAATAAAAAAATCCTACAACTAAAAAAAAAAGGCGAAAACGGCATATGGTTTTAAGGCAAAAGTCATCAAACTGAAAACAAAAGAAAGAATGTGAACAGAGTGAAAAAGCCAATATTTTGGATAAAAAGAAAACAATAATACTGCCCAAACACAGCACAACTTCAAAATGGGCCAAATCCCAAGCACAGATTCACAATTCTCATGTGACAGCCCAAAACTGAAGTATTCATATGCTCAACTTCCACACACATGACTAAATTATAAATTAGGCCCTTTAATTTTGAGTTTAAAATTAACTATTTAGTCATTTTTTCCATTTTATGCTATTTTCTTTTTTTTAATAAAAAAATATTATAGGAAGATTGACGGTAAATTTTTTTTTCAAAAAAATAAAATAATATTAAATTACATGTAGTTAATATTGATCGGATAATTAAATAATTATTTTTTGAAATAAGAATGATTAATTAATTTGTTTTTCAAAACTAAATTATAATTTACTCCCACATGGCCACACACATTGGAATTATTATTTTTTTCTATATCATTTACGGGATTCTGTTTTGAAAATACAAACAAAAAACTTGATTATTTTGAAATTTATTTATGCAAAAAAGAAAAAAAAATCAAAACCAAACAATACTTTCTCAATATTTTTAAAACCATTTTGTTTGGTTTTCAGATATTTTTATAGTTAGTTGTTGGGTTTTATATTTTGGAAAAGTAGAAAAAAAATAAGGAACAAGTATTATGTTTCTGTTTCTAAATTTGATTTTGAAAAACAGAAAACGTAAATAATATAAAAAAAACTCCTAAATTTTGTACATTTATTAATTATATGGTTTTGGATATAATATTTTCACCGAATTAATGACAACACGGTTAAAAAACCATTTAATGTGTGAAAGAAATTGCTTGCAACAAACATCACCTGCTACTCAAGCTACATGTCTTAAAATGTTCCTGTTGGAACCTTTTATCCTAAGTTGGGCGAAAGCCCATCAATGATGGGCCCATACTGAAAGACTGTTGGGCCCATTAAATTTCCATTACCATCATTTATGTGAGTAAATTATAAAACATTCCTTCTCGATTTAAAAAAGAATTAAATAGTTCCTCTAGTTTCAATAAATAATTAATTATTCAGTATATATTTTAAATCTATTTATAACTTAATTCAATTTTTTTTTTAATAAATAGAAAAAGAAAAAAATAATTAAAAACTATATAAAGACTTGATGATAAAAAAGATATTTTTTGTAATAAAATATATTAAATTAACTATATTTAATACTATTCAAATAATTATTTTTTAAAATAAAAAATTCTATTTAATTAGCTTTGTGAACGTAGAGGAGCTAATTCATAATTTACCCTCATTTATTTCACTCTAAAAACCACAAAGTTAATTTGTCATTTCAATTAATTTTTTCAACCATTGAAAATTATTGTCCCTGGCTGAAATGAAAAAAATAAAATTACATGACATGCATTTCACTTTTGAAGTCTTTAGAACCACACACACACACATACACACACATATATATTCAAGAGTATTTATATAAAAAATATATGCTCATGATCATAAAAATTAATCTGAAAGACAGATTTGAAATTTAAATATAATTCAAAGACATAATAGATGCAATTAAAAAAATAAAAATAGATTGGAGACTCAAACTATTATATAAAAACAAATTGAGCTATTTAACAAATTATAAAATAGTTACGTGAGGAAATTATAAAATAGTTTTTCTAGTTTTTTTTAAAAATTAATTTTTCTATATTTTTAAATTTATTTGTAACTTAATTTTTAGTATTTTTTTTTTTGACATATAGAATAGATAAAATATAAGTAAAAATTATAGAAATATTGAAGATAAAAAAAGATAATTTTTTAGAATAAAATAATATTAAATTAACTATAACCAACACTAGTAAATAGGTTAAATAATTAGTTTTTCAAGTAAAAGATGCTATTTAATTAGTTTGGTAAAAATCAAGGAACTAATTTATAATTTACTCTCATTTATTTCTCTCCGAAAATCAAGGAGCCAAAAAGGAAATAAGGGCAAACATAATTAAATAAAAAAATCCTACAACCATATATACTCTCTATTTTACCAACAAATGATGTTTGACATGCATTTTATTCTTTAATTTTTATAAATTTCATTCATTTTTAAGGTTTTACATTAAGATTTCTATCCAAATTTTACTTTTTTTTTTTTTTTCCCAAGGAACGATGTCATTTTATAATTCGAAAAATCAAAATAATTTCAATGTAAAATTGATATAAAATAGTTTGGGTGTAAGAGTGATATTATCTCAATAGTTTAGGGGTACATTTGATGTTTGCCCAAGAAATAAAAATATAATATAAACAAAAAAAAAAAAGACTAAATCATTTTTTTGGTGGGGTCAATCGGAGAGATCTGCAAAAAAGGAGCCGCTGCAGATCTTTAGCACAAAACATTTTCCGATTGATCCAAACAAAACCCAGTAAAAAGAAAACCCTAGAGAAAGAATTTGTTATATTTTTAAAATGAATATATTCAGATTAGCAGGGGACATGACCCATTTGGCTAGTGTCCTTGTTTTGCTCCTTAAGATCCACACTATCAAATCCTGTGCTGGTATGTATTAAAAGTTTTGGTTTTTCTGTTTTTTTTTTTTTGGTGTCTTTTGGCTAGTGGATTTGTTTTAAAATGTGTATTTTGTGTTAAAGTAGTACTTTTATTGCAAATGATAACTGGGTTTCTGCTAATTTCGAGCTGGGTATGTATTTTGGTGAAATGGGTTATTGTAGGTGAAAATAGTTATGGGATCTATGGACTCAAAATGTGTTTTTTTAATGGTTAATAGAAAGATAAGGAGAGGAGTATTTTGCTTGATTTGAATGCTTCTTATGAATTCTTTTGGTTATGATTTATGTTGGTAGTAATTGTTGCGGTCATGTATCTGGTGTAGGAGGATAATAGGGCACATTAGAGAGCGAATGTATTAGCATGATTAATAGCAGCTCACAGACATAGAGAAATATAGATGAACCCTCTATTGTGAACGGCTTTTTTTCCGCAAGGTATGCATTGAGCTTTGTTAGCGAAAGAAGTTCCATTGGTGAACTTTGTTTCCTGATGTTTGTGTAGTCTTTAGCAAAGTGTTCGTATGATAGCATTTAGGGTTAGAATGCAAGTAATGCTGTAACTAGAAGCAATTGAGAAATGGTAATGATGACTCAGAATTACAAGGTCCCTGAGTGTAATCCTGAACTGCTTATAATGTGAAAGTCTAGCAGTAGCAGGGGTTGCTGAAGAAATGGCCTATGAGAAAAGCTCAAAACCAAGTGAGAGGTTTCTATATCAACGTGAAAGAGAAAGATGTTTGTAAGATTAGAATAGCTTGAAATTTGAAATTTAAGAGAGTTTCTTAAAATGTATTGCCATGGCTGAATTACAAATTGATTCAGGTACTGCTGTGTAGTTAGAAATCAGTAACAGTGAAGTTGATGGTTGGAAGGTGTTTTGCATATCAGTCCATCCTAGACTTTTGACTTCTCTCTTTCAAATTGTTAGTCATAGAATTTTGGCTTCTCTCTTTAAAACTGTCCGTCCTAGACTTTTGACTCCCCTCTGTTATTTGCAGGCATTTCACTAAAGACTCAGGAACTCTATGCTCTTGTTTTTGCCACTCGCTACTTAGACATATTCACTCATTATGTCTCGTTTTATAATACCGTGATGAAATTGATATTCCTGGGAAGCTCATTCTCTATTGTTTGGTACATGCGACGCCACAAGTTGGTTCGGAGATCTTATGACAAGGACCATGACACATTTCGGCATTTTTTTATTGTGCTGCCCTGCCTAGTTTTGGCCCTGCTTATACATGAGAAGTTTACCTTTACAGAGGTAACAATGACTTTCCATCTAATTATTTGGAACGCTTCAGTTCACATAACAGCAATGTAATAAGTGTATGCACTCATACAGACATATATGCCTACATACATCTGTGTGTGTGTTTGGGCCTATGCTATTCTCATTGGCCATATTTTGACTTTGATGTATCTTGAAATATGGTTGTCCAGGTAATGTGGACATTCTCCTTGTATCTGGAAGCGGTTGCCATAGTTCCTCAACTAGTATTGTTGCAGAGGACAAGAAATATTGACAACCTGACCGGACAATATGTCTTTCTCCTAGGGTATTTCTTATTGCATATTCTTTCTTGTTTTAACTGTAGGTTAATAAGGTATTTTTGTATGTTACAGTTGGAGTACTTCCTTCCTGAGTTTTGAATCTTGATTACCATCTTGGTTTCATATGTAAATGTCATTTCTTTATTTATTTTTCTTATGTTGCTAGGAAAGCTGAGTTTGTTTATAACTTAATAATCTGTGTACTTCACTTTAAAACTCTACGATTAACAGCTGAATATCTTTTGAACTTTTTTCCCTTATTTGCTGCAGGGCATACAGAGCACTGTACATATTAAACTGGGTTTATCGTTTCTTTACAGAGACACACTATGTCCATTGGATAAGTATGTCATGCTTTGTACATGCACATGTTCATTTTAAGGCACATCCCTATAAAAATTTCTTGCTAATACACTGTCTAAATATCATTGCAGCTTGGATATCAGGAATTGTTCAGACACTGTTGTATGCTGATTTCTTCTATTATTATTTCCAGAGGTAAGTCCTTCAATGTTTTGGGCAAGCGTGCTGATGATTAGAGAGAATGACAGATTTTATTTATTTATTTATTTATTCTTTGTGCAGCTGGAAAAACAATGTGAAGCTTGAGTTACCGGCTTGAGCAAGCTGTCGGAATATGCATTTATCGGACCAAAAGCGCTATGCATTTTTGTTGCAACTTATTTTTCCTATGAATTTATTAATTTTACTGCTTGTGTTTGCTTCAATTCGGCATTTTAAGCCACAACACTAGTTTTGTTTTAGAACACAGCATATATGTAGCAAAACCATTCGGAAATGACATTGAATCAAACAATCTACAATAGAACTTAATGCATTTATGACTCTATACATGTTCATGAAAGATTAAGCTCTCTCATTTCTCAGTTCTCCGTAACAGTATCTCACTACAATTAAATTGAAAAGGCAGCTGTATCCTCTAGTATATTTTTATCTTTTAAAGCTCGGGGATGGTGTTTTGATATGCAATCTATCATGACAAAATTCATACAGAAAATCATGCAGGGTAAGTTAAGGAAATCTTGATTAATCGAAGAGAAATGAAAAGTCAAATCTATGGCTCTATTCTTGCCGCAACAGCTAATATCATGCATATACAATAAAATAGCGAAACCTTAGCAAGATAACTGGCTAGAACCTCAGACTAAAAAGGATGAAGTTTTAAAAATCCGTTCTTCAATTCAGAAAGAAAGAAAACAAGGGAGCACATGCTTTGTGATTTCTCTGGCTAAATCAATCTTTTTCGCACTTTGGTTCTTATTAAACTCTCAAACTGGGTTCAAATGCGTTGTCTTTACTTTATTCTTTTTGGAACTATTAAAAAATGAAGCCAAATCCGTTGCTACAAGAAAACTAACAATCAGCGACGAACGCTAAACCATCGCTAAATCTTATGATTCATTTGCTTATTTATTTATTTGGTTTTTTAATCTAAATATTTTTTCTAAATGTATTTTATGAAAACAAGTGACGTATGAATTGTCACCTCAAATAATACTGATGCGTGTTAAAAATTAAAAATTTTAAAAAATATGAAATAATTATTTTTTAAAATTAATTATTTTTTAACACATGTCAATCCATCTGTTATTTATTTTCGAAAAATTAACTAAAATTTTATTGAAAGAGCACGTTAAGAAAATATTTACGGTAAAAGGACCAAATAAAAAAAAAGATAGCATATTAAAAAAATACAAAAAGTACAGTGATAAAATATGGATTAATTCAAGAAAAACACGTAGCTAGTTGATTATAATATTAAACTCGTTGTTGTTTTCAATTTTGCATGAAGAAACTTTCATTTGGTAACGTACCATTTCATGCAACAACGCTGACAGGATTACATTTTCTGTTGTAGAATCTTTGACGAGGAAATTATCAAACTGAAACAAAGTTAACACGTATTTTTATAATGTAGTTGTGTTTTGTTGATGAGGCTAAGGTAGTAAGGTCCTCCCATTATTTATTACTTTGAATCCTATTTCTGCAAGTGAAGAAGACTTTCCAGTTTCCACATAGGCCTGTAGGCGTGCGCAGAAACTATTTCCTGGGCTGCCATCAACCTTAAATTCCAGAAGTTTTCTTCCTTCAAATGGTAAATGTATTTCCATGTCGGAGCCATTTTAAGGAAACTCCTGCACTGCAGCCTAAAGCCTAAAGACTCATCTGCAGAGGATAGAAGACATGAAGATTTAATTTACAGTCACTTGACTCATTAGGCATATCAAAATTCACAGGCCATAATTGGATGGAGAAATGATAAATTTTCGTGGTCGATTTTTCTTTTTTTGTCAGGAGGTTAACAATGTCAGAGGAATAGAGCTAAAAAGATTTTCACTCTCAAGTGAAACTAAGATTCCGAAAAACAAACAATAAATGTTAATGCATCTAGATATAGCATTTCAAGGATGCATACATCTCATCTCATAATCCTTTCCTGTCCCATCAGAACAGATATCAGATAGAGAGACTACTCTCGAGTGGACCCTGACGGTAAGAGAAGCCAAACCGAAAAATACTATATTCTGTCCAGCAGAATTTGCATAGGTGTGAAAGTGATGCAAATATTCTGAAGTTTTGCTTCATCCATATTGCACCAAATACTAGTGAAAACAGCACATCTCTACGAGCAATTGTAGTTACGGTTGTTATAGCAAAATCAGCAAAACTGACCAGAATGCCCTGAAAGTAAATACAGAGTACAGATGGACTCTTCACGTCGTTCATGTGCTTAAGGATTGCACCACCTGGGAAACACATTTGCAAAGCCTTACAATCCTTGAAAAGCCGATCGTAAGATTATCAACATCAGCTTTTACTTGAGCTGAGACTGACTCGGGCAACAACTTGTGTGTTCCATTAGCAGAAGCTTGTAACTGATATGGAACAACTGCTGATGGATAAACTCCACTGTTTCAAAAAACCAAGTTATCAGACAACACAATCATTAAACATACAGTAAAAAACATGCATAGACTCATTTTGGGTAGAAATATTGTTGAAAATAAATACAGCATATGAAAGTTGTGATCTCAGCCACAGGTTAAAGGTCCCAGCTCCCAAAAGTGGTATTGATTTAGCTTCATTTGTTTGTCCATACTACAATTGCCGAAGTTAATGCATAATTTGTTATGAAAATTTTTTTATAGTAAAAAATAAACCCTAGACAAGAAATGACAGGTAGTTTTCACCAGCATATAGATAATCATATTTATGGTGGTATGTATTGTCTAAGAGTTCAACACTAAAAAGTTGAAAATTTTGAAAACCAGACTTGTTAAGGACGCCCTAACTATTTTGCAACAAAACATTTTCATAAAAAATGCCTAAAAGAGGTTGGCTCAAATTTACACAACTGTCAAACTCAAATGATCTAGTTCATGTTTTTCTTTTTTTGGTAAATAATCTGACTTGCATTCCCACTAGCGAGGTGTACTGTGAAACGAAGCTCAGCTTCTGATAGGGATGTGAACTCTCTCATTTTGTTCACTTCACTTGGTAGTCAATTCATTCTCATTTTTTTATAGTTGATTGTGACTTGAACAAAATGAGCATGGACATCAAGCGACAACACCACTTTCACAAACATAATGGTTGTGATAATTATGAGGTTAATAAAACAATTAATTTTCTAACAGCTAACATTCCTGTCACATATAGGATTGACATATCCAATTGAGTGTATTCAGCAGATCAGCCAATTAATCCTATCATGTCTCTGCTGATGATAAGTAGCGTCCCCTAAGAATCACATTACAAAACTACAATGATCAAACAAACCGAAAATAGCATCAAATTATTGGGCCTCACATAACATGCAGGTTTAGTAATAAATACTTAACAATACAGGGACATTATTAAAGTCAACAAGTGCATGTTAAAATTATAGCATCTTAATGTGCAGTCTTTATAGGGAGCCAAGATCTTGTATGATGGTAAAAGTTTCAAGCTGGAACCTCTTTTGAGTTTTGGGAGTAGGTAATTGTTGCAAAAATCAGAAGGGTAAGCCTCTATCCAGACTAACCCCCCTTAGGACCTGCTTAAGCTGGTATGCTAGAACAACACTCTGTAATAGACCAACAAGGAGACGGGACATGCATAAAGTAATCAGCTAAAAGCATCTTCCACTAAACATGGCATTTAAGTTTGCAACGGATAAAAAGAGAATGATTAAGCAGATTTTACCGATTCAAACATGCCATGTCAAGAGTCACTGCCACCTTCCAACCAGTGTTAAAATCAACAAAACAAAGCAGCAAATCAAGCTTTTCAACTGCAAAAAAATTAAAAATAATAATAATAACAATAATGATAATAATAACATATAATACGTATTACCAGTACCATGCCCAAGCAGAGCAGACTAAATGCACATGCTTCTATAGCATGTTCAAAAGGCATTAACAATCAAGAAATCACGCAAATGCAGTAGGTTCAATGAATCAACTGCAACAATGATTATAAAAAATTTTTTACACAAATAAGATAATCATCATTAGAGAATTATAGGAAATCATGATGCATGTATTGAATACCTAAACATTTCTATGATCACCCAGTCACCTTGTGAATCAGCAGGATTAACAGAGAACAAAGAGTGCATCACTAGGCCCAGAAATAAACTTGGACATGCACACTGATTTGCGTTTTCCCATCCCAAGTATGGTGGCATTGATTACTCCACAAGCACAATCTTCTCTATTGTCTTGTACCAGTCACCAAGATTCAAGAGACTTTACCTTGAAACTCTAGTAATGACTGAAAGAGTCATTTGACACTCAGATTCAATATTGATCCTATGAATGTAAATGAAAATGAGAGAAATCTCTAAACCCAAGGTCAAAATTCTTTCCAAAACTAACTCAATATTTCATTTGCCTGCCAGCAGTGCTACAATATGTAATGCAGACAACCTTCTTTAAAAAAAAATAATGCATCTGACCAGGTTATAGATCCCAAACCAATAAGTAAATGAAGAGATAGCAGAGGGATTGGGGGGCAGGGGAGGCATTATATACCAGATGGCGAAGAAAAGCTTGTCTTGACCAGATTTCTGATATCTATTTGTGCCCGCTGTACTTCTTCAATCACATCTAACAGATTACGCAATAGTGAACTGGTTAACTGCATCACAAAAATAATACTTAAGGAATTAAAACATCAATTGCTTGTTAGAATAGCTCAGTTGAGCAGGCAAAGAAAATTAAATGCAGAAAGCGCACATGGCATACATTTCAATTCTAATTAGACTGGAAGTTTTTGTGTAAGCTAAAAGAAATAATAGCATCCACAGAGTCTCCACGCAGAATATAAAAGAATTGAATGCAAAAGAATACTGAGACTTACTTGTGTTTCTTGTGCCAAAATTTTGGAGCCAACATACTTCTTAGTAGTCTCAGAATTTAGAGCATATGAAAATGCTACACAAGCATCCATATTAGGGAAGATCTAATGAACAAGAAAGATCAAGTTTTAATAATAAGTACAGCAAATGAATTGAACAAATAGAATACAATTTGACTTGATTACCTTCGTGATAGTTCTGTAATTCAATTGGTTTGCAATAGATATACTACGGATGGGAACTGCATTTATTGTGAACCTGTTTATCATCAAAGCAAAAGAACACACTCAAGGATATAAGCATGTTACATCTCCACCGCAGCTTATTGACCAGTAGAAAAGTTCCAGCAAAGAAGGAACCTTTGGCAGATGAAGCCTTGATAGTTGAGAACAATACTTAGTTGACCATTCCTGCTACTCAGATCCTCAACTTCCCACAACTGAGGAAATAGAAGACAGAACATGTTTCTCAATTGAAATAAGAAATTTAACTATAAGCAGTAACAAAGGTCATTACAATAGTTGAAAGACCTGCAAATCCTTGCGTATGAACCTGCAAGAGGTTCTCCTCCTCAGATGATCATTAACTAGAGCAATAGTCTCAGCACAGCTTGGCTCACCTTTCATTTTGCAGTAGCTATGGAAAGATTTAGTTAAACTCTTTATATTCCTATCTAAAGCTTCAGACTCAAGCCTCATTGTGACTAATTTCTCGTTGGAATCCTGCCAGACAATAACACGAGCATCTCCTTCAGAAACTCAAAGTGAAGTTGATATACAATCAGAATGGCTACAAATAAAGTCTATTGGGCAAGTTCACTTTGGATTTTTGGTATAGAGTTTTCCCTCATGTCCCAAGCTAAAAAACATTAATTATAAGTCATGGCAGCCATCGATTTCAAAATTATGGAATATTCAAATAATTCTGCAACATTAGCACTACACATCCATAATTCGATCAATCCACTTCGTAATAAAATCCGTTTATAAAATTCTTTTACTCCTCTAAAACTGTGTTTCCTTTTTAATCAAATTGGACTATTTTCATTGGACAGAGAGAGTTCAAACTAATATCCTTAAGATGGTATGCACTGACCAATAGAGCCTCAAAAAGGGACAAACCACTATGATGCGGTACAAGAAGAATAATTTTCAAGAAATTTCTAATTTTATTAGTTCTGTGGTATTTTTGTTATTTAGGAAGTTTCTTATTGTAATATTTGCAATACTTAGGGCTTTATTATTGTTATGACTTTATTATTATTATTAAGATTTTATTTCCTATTTAGGTAGTAACATTCTAGGGCTTTTGTGTGCATATAAAGCATACTTATGCACTGTATTTGGAGGCAGTTTATGAATGAATAAAAAAATGGGGACTTTGTTTAGTCACTTTGAGAGGAGGATTTTCCTCTTTGTTTATCCGTTCTTGTGGATTCAACAGCCGTAATTCCTTGGTGGAGTCAAACAAGCCCCTTGTGGATTGCCTAATGGATTTGAGGTTATCTATCTTCTTTTTTAACTTAGCATGTCCTACATCATTTTTGGCAGCAAAGCCATATTCGACCTCAACCCTGACAGAGCAAACCATTCAGCCAAAAATAAAAATAATAATTAAAAAAAAAGAAGAAAAACCTGTCTCTGCAGTCCAAGCAACAAAACACAAAAGCCTTCAGCTTTTGCAATTTCGATTCTAAGTGCAATTGGGTTTTAATGACCTTTTTTTGAAGGACATGATGGTATCCAATTATACAGTGCTCTTGTTGTTGTTTTTCTAAGTAAAGCATTATCGTTGAAGTTCTGGGTGAAAAAAATGTAGAAAAAAGACAGATCAAGAAAAGGATTGGAGGGTTGGGAGGCGAGGGGTCATGGATGATAGAAAGTTGGAAGAGAGTGCAAATCTCAAAAGTGGATCCTATAACGTTAGGGTTGAGATGAGAACAATGTTTGAGAGGTTTATGTGGCTCATCAACATACTTGAAACAGTATGCTTGGAAAGTTTTTGGCAAAACTATGATATCATGGTAAATGATATTGCCAAAGAACAAGTTTGCCACAAGGAAAATAAAAAACAAACACAAGTTGACAGGAATCAAGTTAAAGAACAGGTATATCAAGCTGGAGAATGCAGATTCCACAATTAAAGAAGTCGAAGAAGAGAAAGTTGTTTGAACAAGTCAGGAATCAAATTAAAGAACAGGTATATTATGCTGGAAAAATTTCTCCTTAATTCCATAACATTCTTTGAGCACCCAGTCTTTGACTCGCTCTTCTTTTCTTTCTTCTTATGGGTAAAAACAGATGCATAACGAAATGAAATGACAAAACAAAAGTGATAAATAATGCACTTCATGGGCTGAAGAGCATATAAAAATCGATGCATATCTTAAAATTGATTTTATACCTCGATTTTTCTGCCATATTTAACCGTGCATGAATTTCGAAGATTATCATCAACTTCACCAGACATGGAAGGATGCCAAATACTGCTGGATTTTAAAATCTTGGATTCCTGAATTGCAGAGCTCAGTTGCTGTGTTCTTTTCTGCATAAGAGATTAAAGGCAGGGGATAAAGGATATGGATACCTGAAGAATGGAAAACACAATAGAAAAGGAAAAATACCAGCAGTTTCTCACGCTTGACAGAAATTAATTGTAGTCTTGCCCTTTCAAATACTAACTTAGAAAGCACCAATCTTGTTTCATCTATTCTGCAACAACATCCGCTCAACGCTGTAAGCAGTAATGCTAAATCATGCCATACAGTAACATAAGAACCAAAGACCATCCTCATCCATGAAATATTATTAACAAAATGATGACTAGCCACCTTTTATTCCTAACTGCACTGGACAGATCGCATGTTTTCTGTAGAACCAATGGAAGAACAGTGTTAGTGGGAAAATGGTTAGCCTGATTTGTTATTACTGCCAGTAGAAGAAATAATCAGGCTAAATTTGTTGACCATCCCAAGAACCAAGCAGAACCATAAAATGTCAAAGTCAATTTAATAAGCAGACCTGAGGCTGGATTTGGGAACAAAGCATCTCAAACTTCTTAACCTTCTGCTGGCAAACCAAAATATCTTGCAACATACCAATCTACATGGTGAAACAGAAAAGAAAAAAAAACAAAATCACAAAGGTATACACAGAAAGGAAAAAAAAATCAGTATCACCAATGGCTATGGATTTTTAAATTCTATATTACCACTTTAATATTTAGCTTTTCAATTGATGGAGAAAGCAACTGTTTTGTGTCTGCCGAAAATTTTAGTGAAATCTGCAAGGTGTTAACTATGTTAGAAATAATTCAAAAGATAAACAGTGAGATTATAACAAACGACTTTGTGGTATTGTAGACACTAAAATCGGAACAAACTAGAAAGAAAGGGCCTCTGTGCCATTGCCTTCTTCGTGTTGTGCCACTTTGTGTTTTCTGAATAACACAACACTCCTCAAGGGTTTGTTCCATTATCTATTTGCTATCAAGAAATAATCTTCTAAAAAAGTCACCAAGGTTCTCTGTTTAAAAGTTGACATGTCTATAGTTCATTTATATTTCTATGGCAGTAACGTTTACCTTTTCTCCTTTGGTACAAATATATATCTATATATATATATATATATTGCCTTCAAGGTTAAAGTATACAGCTTAACTTTTGTGGACAAAGTTATGGAACAGACCACTGAGAAGTAAACACCACAGCACAAACCACATCATAAAAGGTGAAAATGGGCCTAACCACAAGGATGCAAGACAGAATTCACACCATAGCTCAACTATTGGCATATTGGCCATAAGCAGGTAAGGTGATATAAGAAAATAGATGTATACATACATCAGTCCAACGTTTCAATGGCAAGTCACCTATAACCATCTCCCTATCATTGATGCTTCCATTAGAACACTCCAGCACGGGCTCCATATCCAAATCTGGATTCCTATTGTATGGGCTCCTCTTTATCCTCCTAATCTCTTCTGCATGTTCTGCATCCTCAACAACTGGTTCTTCAATTCTTCTTTTCCGAACAGAAGAACTCTGGAAATTCTGTGCAGGAAACTGACTCAGTAAATTATGGAATCCCACATGTGCGTGTTTGTGTCTGTGTGTGTGAGAGAGAGCTCTATGATTTTAAGTGATAAGCCATTTACATTATTAGGAATGTACAAGGAAGCTAAGGCCTGCAGAGGAGATTTATTTTTTTCCCCAGGAAGTTCCTCTTCAGAATGGCTCGGGTCAGGAGCAACAATTAGGATATTCCTGTCTGGGCTTCCTGAATGAATATTTGAGGCATTCCTCTCCCTAAAAGGAGTTTGGAAGTTCACTGAGGATTTAGATGCACCATGCTTATTCTGAAGATAACTTTGACTGTCATCCACCCATTTCACTTGAGAACCGTCTTCAGAATAATTAATATCAAGGAGAAGTGAACCAGACTGTGGTCTCCTTTCAGCAAACCGTGATAACAATTCGTCAGTGACTGCAGTGGAATGGCTGCCACTGGAAACATTACCTGCTGAATTCTTATCTTGATTGAAGCAAATGCTAACAAGTTCATCAAATGTCAATTGCTGCTTCATGTCGCCAGAGAGACTTTGTTGGTGTTTTATCGGTGATGATAACCCCTGATTCAACACCTTCAATGAAGGAGAAACAAAATTAGCAGGTGCATTGGTTGTTTTCATAAGATTTCCGGAACCCACTTTAATCTCCACTGATGAGGAGCCAGATCCAGGAATAAGTGATGCCCTGTCCACCGATTTCTCTGCCAAAATATGTGGCCTGACTTCCCTCTCCTTGGACAGAATATGTGCAGACATGTGCATAAGAGACTCCTCATCTTCTGAAAGGCTTGCGGTGTTAGTCAAATCATCAACATCACTTGGAGGCACAGTTCTATAGCCATCTATGTTGCTTAACCTTAGCCTTTCATGATCTCTGTCCTGCATATTGATGCTTGAGAAATGTTTTTCTAAGTTCATTATGGGGGCATCCACCCTGTTTGCCATCTGTATCTCCTTTGTTGTTTTCTTCCACCACTGAATTGAAAGAAGTTGCAGAAGAAATGAAATTTGATGATCTAAGTTTTGATTTTTCAATTCTATCTTTCAAACTAGACACAAGGGGAGAAGGCTGAACCCAACCACTTTTTAAGTTTGCCTTGCCTAAACAGGAATCTGGTTGTTTCGGTGAAGGAGTCACATATGATAATGGCCTACAGGATTTAGAAGCATCCAAAAATATCTGCTGCCTTTTTTTAGCAGACAATGAAGATATGGATCCATGTTGTTTATCAGAATTATGATCAGGGTCATAATTATTTCTTCTATCCTCAAAATAATTTTTTTTAAGAATGTCAGCTGAATGCTGTCCAGATTCATGTATTTTTAGTGAATCGAGCGTCAGAACTTGAGCATCCATATTAGATGTGATGCCAATACTAGCAGCAGGTAAATCCACATCCATTGCAATTGCAACTTTACTGTTGTTATTATTCACCTACAATAGGGAAAACAAAAACTGAACATAAACAACCATCTTCATTTTGTAAAAACAAAGAATGCACATCAGTACATGTAAGAAAAATTGAGAATCTTCATGATCACATAGAGAGAAAATGCATGAGAGAAACCATTCCAACATGATCAGTGAATATCTAATAAACAACTAGAAATGGTCAGGCAAGAGTTTTCCAGAACGAAACCATTCCCACATAATCATAGCTCAAACATTAAAGAGAAAAAGATCATGCAGAGAATTAAATGAATACAGCACAAATCCAGGCCACCGATTGTAAAAGAGCACCTATGCAGGGTTAACTTATTGAATTCATACAAATGAAGGAACCAGAGAAATGGGGTATCCAACCCAAGAGAGGAAAATCTTACTGGCATAATCTGATTATGAGTTTGTAATTTGCTCATCTGATTGGCAGTTTGTGCTTTGCTCACTTGATCAGCAGTTTGCACTACACCCGGCTGATCAGTAGTTTGCACTTTGCTCAGCTGAATAGGACTTTGTACTCGGTGATGAGCGAATGCATTCACTGCTACACCTTCAGTTCTAAGAGGGGAGCTGCACTGATCAGCAAGGGTGCTCACAGAAATGCCATTTCCCTCGTCTAATTCCATGCTGGCCACAGATACTCCCTTGGCAGATATGTCAAGCATGTCAACCTTGCCTATTTCTTTATCTTCACCATCCTTTCTATCCATGTGGCTGCTCCCATTCTCATCAAATATAGAAACCTCACTCCTTTCCAACAATTTCACATTAGTAGAATCAGAAAGGAAAGCAGATGCAGCTTGTGGCTCCTTCATGGCTTCTGATAAAAGTGCTTCCAAATCAGGAGAAAGTTTCCCATAATCATAACTCCGCATGTTTTCTTCCACAAGACTCATATCATTTGAATCTCTACCCCCACTACCCTCCACAATACCACAGGGATTCCGTAAAATTACCTTCCTATCTTTTGTCAATACCATTAAACTCCCTGGATCAGAAGGGGTGGTAATATTGGAAGGTGTTTTCTCTTCGACAGCAACAAGAACCTCAGTAGGAGTCTTTAAGTCTTCACCTGATACTGACTTGACAAGACTTCGGTAATGCATTGAAAATGCAGTCGAATCCATTGTTACATCAAGATTACAATCTGATGCACCAGAATCAGATAATCTTCCAGGTCTAATAAAACTTGCCGACACGGGCCCAAAAAAATTGTCCTCTACAAAATGTAACAGCAACAAAATGCTTCAACATTTTTCCCCAAAACATTTGCAATTCACTAGTCAAATAGAAATGACCTAAAAGTAAGTGAAATTGAAAACAAATAATAATGAAAAGCAAGCAATTAAAACATAACAAACCATCATTAGAAGTAGCAGAGCCAACGATGCTGTTACTACCGGGAGACGGAGATTCAAGCGGCCTAAAAAACGACTTCCTGGAATTGATGGAATCATCGTTATCGTTCCCAACAGCACCAGTGGGCGATGAGATTTCTTTAGAATCATCGCTATCTGCGAGGTCACCGAAAAACCTCTGAAGTTCATCGTCTCGGTCGGAAATGTCGTTTTTCGTGGAAGATGGGTCAGGAGGGGTCTCATATTCATCGTCGCGGTTGAAGATGTGGACGGAAGTGATCTCGCGGTCAGCAAAGCTCACGCGCCTCAACCGTTTCTTCCTGATAGCGATGGTTTCCTCGTCGGTATTGAAGTTGTGGCTGCTATCTTCGATAATTGGGGGATTCGAGGCCATTTTAGGAGGAAATTGAAGAGGAGTTGGAGGATTAGGGTTCGAATTGCATTTTCGTTTTGTTTTTGCAGAGTGGGAATGGCAGTGAGAGAGTAAAGTTTGATTTTGTGCGCGGGAGAAGTTGGTGCTTTTTTACGGTCACTTTTAAGTTACGAAAACAAAGATAAAGTTTGCCGTATAATGAGTAAATCTATTTGACAGTTTTCAATGGTTTACTAGCCATTTTTCGCAACGGTTAATTATAGGTTTTACGGTAAAAATTGTATCCATTCTGGGCAATTTAATAATTTTAGGTTTTTAATATCAATTTATATAATTTTAACCTAAAATATTTTTTTTGGGCAAATTTTTTTCAAATTAGTTAATTGTAATGGAAAACTCAGTTAATCGTTTTTTTTTCTGTTAATTTAAAAAAAAAGGTTAAAAATGTTTTCCTTCCCTTTTCAAGATAGATTTTCTTTTCCAACTATTTACCTATAAATAAATTATTAAATTTATCACTAAACTTCTAAACTTTTTTTTTTTCTCCCTGAAAAAAGCCTTCGCTTTTTAAACCTGTCTTTAAAAAGCTAAAAAAAAACTAGAAATTTTTTTAAAAAAATAGTTTTCTAACTCTAATAATTAAATGCATATTATATATTTGAATCAATTATAAGGAAAAAAAATCATATAAAACATGTGAAGATAAAAAAATATTAAATAAATATAGTTATATTTAAAATTTAATGATTGAAAAACACAAAAATAAATTTATTGGCACAATAAAAGAAAATTTTTAGTTATAATTAATTATTTGATGATTTCAATTGATCAAATTTAACCAATAAATATATGTATTTTATTAATTATAGAAGGTGATTGTTTTACTAAATGATGATACTACATAAAAATTATTTTTAAAAAATGAACAAAATTGTACAAATAACAATTTGACTAACTAGGAAAAATCAAAGGGATTAAAATGTAAAAAATTAAAATAGAAAGAATTTCTCTTGAAAAATGAAAGAAAAGCATTTTTAATATATTTAAAAAAAATTAACAGTAGAGAAAAATCAATGATCACTAGTTGACCATTAATAATTAACCAATTTTTATAAAATTGGTTCAAAAATTGATATTTTGATGTTCAAATTAAGCAAAGTTGTAATAAAAAACTCAAAATTACTAAATTACAATAGAACAAAAGTAATTTTTGTTACTAATCCGTTAATTATAAGTAAAAGACACCATTTTTTTTTTACTTTCTCTCTTATAATTTTTTAGGAGGGTCCGCCCATTAAGATCTTTTATTTATTTTCAAATGTAATATGATACATTCTACATTACTAATAGTGAGTAATGATGTTTCATGCTAGTCAGAATTTTCTGTATACATATGTTCGGCATCTTCGTATCAGTCCTTTTTGGCCTAATTTTTTTTTTTTTTTGTTTTAGTGTAATGTTTCATCCCTGGTTACTTTAGCACCCTACACTATACAACTCCTCATGAACAATGAAAATGAAAAACCAGTACAAGAATATTCTTATTTTTTTGGATCAAAAGAGCTTCCTCTATTATAATAATAATAATAATAATAATAAAAGAAAAAGAAAAATCGTCGTAATTAGAATAAATTTCTACTTCGTAGGTTGGAACAAATCCACTCATAAAAAATATAAACAGACCTCCAAGTAACAATAATATGTCAAATTACATGTAAATACCAAGAAATAAGTTTTAAATTCGTTGATTCAAAGAATGTTAGAAATTAGAATAAATTTGAAATATTCTCTCATAAAGTTTCATTAATAAAAAAAAAACTGCGTTTTTTTTTACCTTCAAGTCGTACATAAAGAGGAAATTCAGCCCAAAACCCTAAATCAACTAAAAAAGAAAACAAATACAAAAATCCGAAAATAAAAGAAAAATCTCAAAAAGCAATAAAAGTCAAATTTAAGGATGTAAACAATGTTTTTCATTTTTTTTGTCAAAATCACCCATACGTCATGGCAAAACGATGGATTTGACTCGTTAGACCATTTGATATCGAACTAGGCCTAAGAAGCCCCAAAATTGGGCCGATTGCTTTTTTCAGCTTCTACCTTACTCATATCGCTTCATAAATTCTAAGATCCATTAGTTCGCATCAGAGTCCTTTTCCTAAGAGGTGATTGATAATCTGGAACTTCCATATGGATAGCCTTGGCCCTCCTGTCCTTTCCGAACTATCCATCTTTGGCCAACATTGGCTATTGCTTGTCAAATTACTGTACTACTCAGTGCTGCAATCTTGCAGGATATCACAGAGATGAAAGAAGAGACAGGCTTAAGGCAGTTTTTGAGTATATATTTGTCTGCAAAGAGATTGAAAAATTGGTAGTGCTTATTTAACTAGTTCAAAGTGGCTTGTATCGTATATTATACAGTATGAATCTAAGGTGAACTAGCTTAATTTGTTGTCTCTTCATTAATGTACGATCATGAAAGAAACAATGAAACAATAATAAGAAATCCAACAACAAAAACACTAGTTTATAGTATATACATTGCGAAAAATTTTTGAAGTTCATCTTGATAATCTTTCAGCTCCTTCAGTTTTTGCTGCAAGCGGACTTTTAGGACAGGCAATGCATGTTGAGGATCTTCATTGAATATTTGGAGTACCTCAAGACCCTGGTCGTCGTATAAACGTTCGAGACACCTTAAAAAGATTGTCCGGCTCCCTTTTTTCACTTCATTATCATCAGCAGTGCTTTTTTCCAATTCTTCTGCATATTCAACAGCTGAACTAAACCAACCAATTAGCATGTCCGTCTCGTATCTATCATCTTCACATTCAAACAAGATTTGTTCATTTTCATGGCTCTTCCTAGTGAAGAAGTCCTCAGTTCCTGAAGGCACTGACAGAAATTGATTATTCAACACCTGCAGTTCGGCTTCCGATATTCTATTGTGTTTAGAAGGACTGTAATAGTCTTTTGGGAGACATAGATAACTAGGAGTACACCTTTTGCAATGAGAGAGATCAAGTTCTTGAATGGATTTATAGAGATACTTCCTCCTCTTTCTGTCCCTTTGTTTGCATCCCCTTGTTTCAATCTTCTGCACTTCATCTTCTTCTTCAAACTTTTTCCTGAATACCTGAACCTTCTCGCAATTCCGAACATAAAGCCGGAACTCATCCATGAGATCAGGATGCTTTCCGATCACAGCAGCTATCCTTTCATTCCATTCAGCCTTTCTTAATTTTCCGGTGGTGTAATAGAAGAACAACTTTAAGAAAGTGCGATAGCTGATCTTGCAGGATAACTTCTTCCGAACTTTCTCGAAAAAGCAAAGTCCATCCTCAAAGAGCTTTTCCATGACCACCTTGCCACCAGCTTTCACTGTAAATCCTCCTACCTTCTTGACAAGTTTTCTTTCCTTGCCGTTCTCTTCGCACACCTTAATATTTTCAGGCTGCTTCTCCTGCTGCTCGTCAACCTTGATTGCTTCTGCTTCACCATCGTTCACATCTTTATCTTGAGAATCTGGAACATGATCAGATGCTACTGGAATTGCTTCAGAAGCTCGCATAAATCTATGAAAACCCTCTAGTAAATCAGTATCGTCTCCGCACAGAGGGGCAATAATTTCGTAGAGATCCCTCCTGTCCTTGACCTGTCCGAAAACCTTCAAAAAATCATCCCAAACCTTGCCACCACGCATCCTTAGCTTGTTTATAAAATCCTTAGCGTCTTCAAATCCAGGTAACATCATCGTTTTCTCTGCTGAAGCAGCCGCAGTTTCCTTCTCATCCTCCTCTTCTACCTCTGCTGCCTCGTCGTCGTCATCCACGCCAAATCTATACGAGGGCGGCAGGAAAAGGTTGAGCCCGCGTATCAGGTCACAGTGACCTTCAAGAATTGCCTTCAGTCTTGCCAAGACATCATCGGATACCTTTTCCAGTCTCCCTGAGCGCTCATCTCTTTGAGCCCTGATATCTTCCATGACTCGGTAAAAGCTGCTTAATTTTTCCGGCTGGTCTTGAAGCCTGGCTCTTAGTTCTTTCAGGTAGGTTTGGGATTCGCCATAGTAATCCCTCTTTGTCCCCATCTCTCTTTCACTATCTCAATGATTAAACAAAGAAGAAAACAGAAAAGCAAAGTCTGATTTTCTTTTAATCTCTATCTAGATGTGAATATATAAGCAATCTTCTTAGAAATATTCGGAGTTTTGTTCGCAATCCTACGAGGATCAGGACATTGGCAACTTACGTATTGAACAGTTCTTCCTAGGGTCGCTTTCCTTTTCTCGTTGGGACAAAGGTTTGGGGTCGTTTTTGGATTGGGCCTGAGGTTGGTGATGAGGCCTTAATTTATATAAGGTTGGGCCAAGCCATTTATTTCTTCAGCTAAAATATTTGTAATGCTATTTCTCAATGTAATTCCAATTTATTATTATTTGTTTTTAACACGAGGCTATTTTAATTTAGAGTGGTGTTATTCCAATTCCATAGCTAGTTAATTCCATTTCATAATTTATTTTTATCACTTAAATAGATCAAATTATTCTTAATTATGGTTTCCACAAATAATGATATTAAATATTAGTATTGCATTTATATTTCTATGTATTACTAATAGAAATCTTATTTTGTGATAATAATATTTAAATTTTATCTTTTTTTTAATCATCAATTCTTATCAAATTTTATTTCTTCAAAAAAACTTTTGGTCATAATACACTTTTTCTTCTCTTATTAAAGATTTATGTTGTGCTTCCACATATTATCAACCAATAATATTTATTTCAATTTAGTTAATCGGCTCCGAATATTATCTACTACCAAATATTTATTCTTTAAAAATATAATACAATAACTAAATTCTGAAAGCTTCAATTATATACTTCTTGTTAATAATTTGAATTAATTTTGAATTTCAATGTTTAGAAAATAATATTTCAATAAGTTTGGATTACTATAAAATAAGATATTTTATAATTATACTAAAAATGAAGGATAATGTAGTCTACAACAAAACTTGTAATAAATATGGAGTGGAATTAACAATTCGTGGATGAAATAACAGATTTGGATCCTTTTATATTACTAAGGAAGCATGATGGATCATGTTTCAGATCCTAGCTAATATTGATTTTTATTGACACTTAAAATAAAAATTTTCAATTCATCTTTAGCAATTGTATCAAATCGCAAGATTTTGATTGTTAGGGACTAGATTCAACAATTTGAGCAATATAAAGGACTGAGCATTGCAATCAACATATCAAACTTAACAATAAAAACATGGAGAAGAGGATTAATGAAGACAACAATTTTGAACAGCATGAAAGAATTCGACAGTTAATATATTTTTTATTTTCTATTATTATTTAAGAAAAGTTATATTGGTGAAATTAGTTTTCCTACGTAGTCTAGATTTTATTTTCTTGGCTATTAAATTTAATATTCTTTAAAAATAGAAAAGTACTTTCGTTGTTATTTTTTGGCCAACTCCAATACAAATAAATTCATGCAATTTATTATTCAAGCTCCTACTTTGCAATCAAGTATTTTTTTTTTTAGCTTTATATTCTACCTTATTTCTTTTAATTATGTTTTTAACAACCTTTTTACGGTTTTTTTAGTATAGATTTTAGTTTCTTAGGTTTTGTCTATTAAAAAATATTCACAATTTATTAGGTTTTTCAATTTAAAAATCAACAAGGTTGATTCTTTTAGCCCACTATGCGATGACTAATCAACCATTTTTGGAACAAATGATATCAGCTTTTTTTCTTTTAATACTATATTGTACATAATAAACGAGTCTCAAATTTTCTTATAATTTAAATTTAGAAGCTATTTTCCATCATTCATGTAACTATTATATTTGCATTTAGATCATCAATTTAAATGATGAATGAAAAATAAAAATATATATTCAATTACTTTCACCTTCTTTCTAATAAAGAAAGGGGAACAAAGAAAAATTTGTGTTTCCCACCTTTAAATTTTTAAAGAAAAATTTATCTTCAATGTAATTAAAAACTAGTAAATGAAGTATATTAGTGGGGTCTAATCTATGACAGTATCTAAAATGGGAAATGTCATCGTAAGAACTGCACATTAACTTCTTTTTTTTTTTTTTTTTTAACTTAATAACACATAAACAATAGAGTTAATTGCATAAAGCATTCGTCTACTCTCCTATTTTTTTTAATGTAATTCCTATACCATTTTTTTTTTAATTTACCATCTCTTTTTATTTTTGATTTTTTTTTTTAATGTAACTCCTCTAACTGTTTTCTAGCTTATTTATCGATTAAAACTAACACTTAACATTAATAAAAAAAAAAAAAAAAAAACATTCGTGTGGCCTGTCATTTTAAATCAATCTGCCATGTGTCAAAAAAAATCAAAAAATTTAGGTAAAAATAGAAAATTGGAAAGGAAAAAAAAAAGAAAAGAAATTAGTTACAACAGATTTGTTGGGGTGTTTCCTAAATCCACAAGAACAAAATACAACACTACGAGAAGAATATTTTTTAGCGACGGTCAAAAAACCATTGCTAAAAACTAAAATTAGTAACGGTCTAAAAAACGGTTACAAACTTTTTAATTTGCAATCGTTTTTTAGCAACTGTCTACAAATTCGGCAACTGTCTACAAATTCATTGCTAATTTGAAAGTTTAATCATTTTAGCGATGTTTTCCATGAAAAATAAACCATTGCAAATGTAGCAACGAGTCTAACCCGTCGATGAACCGTTGCTAAGGAGATAATTGGGTTTAGTGACGGTCACAATCGTTGCTATAGATTATTAAATATTTTTGCAACGGTTTTCTATTAAAAAACCCGTAGGAAAAAAATTAAACATTTAAGACCATCGCTAATCCGCTACCAAATGATCTCGGGCTGAAACGAAGGCAAATACCCAAGATTAGCAATGGTTTGATATCCTTAAACCGTTGCAAATATATTTAGTTTAGACCGTCGTTAAACCATTTGTAACGTAATTAAATTTATGTTTTACAACGGTTTTCCAAAAATAACTATTGCAAACATACATTTAGCGACGGTCTAAACCATCTCTAAAAGTAAACCGTTGGTGGGAAACGATCAAATTTAATTTTAGCGACGCTAAAAACTTTACCTTTTATAAGTTCCGGTCGAACGGAAATCTGGAATTCTCTCTTCTTCTCCTCCGTAGCGACTTAATCCGTCGTTTTTTTGCTCCAAACTTCTCCTCTCTTTCCTCGAAGCTTTTGTATCCTAAAAATCTCCCTCTTTTTTCCCTCTTTTCCTCCTCCTTTCAATCTTTGTCTCTACCGTTCAACCTCGCCATTTTTCGATGACCATACTCCGGCAAGGTTTTTTGATCGACGGTAGCTACCCCCTCTCATCCTTCTCTTGGTGACGAGTCCACCTAAATCTCCTTTCAATTATTAATTTTTTTTAGTTATTTATTTAAGTAGAATAATTTTTTTTTGTTTAATTACTTATTATTGTTAGTTTAATTATTGAATTGATTGTTTATTGCATGTGTTTTTTTAACTTGATTATTTAATTAAAATTTATTTAATGTGTTATTTTAGTGTAAATTGTGATAGTTAATTGAAAATTTTAATTGTTAATTTAATATTAATTGTTAATTGTTATGTTAATGTTGTTGTTAATTCTTGATTAATTGAATATTATTGTTAATTTTTAAATTTACTCGTTATTTTTATTTTTAGTTGTTGATTGAATTAATTTGATTGTTAATTGTGAATTTACTTACTTTAATTTATTGTTAATTGTTTTAGTTAGAAAATATAATTGTTATATTTTATTTTATGTTGTTATTTTAATTGTTATTGTTATTAGTGTAGTCGCTAATTGTTAATTTACTTAAGTGATTAAAAATTTATCGAAAATATTATTAAGTTTATTTATTACTAGTTCATAGAATTAAAAAAAGGGTAAAAATGGCCATAGAAATAATAAGTTGGAAGAGAGTGCAAAATCTCTAAAGTGGGCTATAAAATTAAGAGTTTAGATGAGAACAATCATAATTTTATGGGTCGTAAGCATGCTTGAAAAGCATGAGGCTCAGCAACATAATCAAAACAGTGATACCATGGTGGTTATTACAAAAGAATAAGTTTATCACGAGGAGCATAAAGAATCACCAATCATAAAAAATTCATAAAATTAGAAATATCTGTCTAATCTAGATATCTATTTTGAAACCCTAGCAGCTGCTTCCTCTCAGCTATAGCGGCCATGAAATCATCTACGTAATCAGCCATATACGTAGATGTTGTAGGTTTCCCCAATGGGGGAGACGTCTTCAAGCCAGCCTCTTTCTGTAACATCTTTCCCCCTACCTACTATCTCAGTTTCATACACAATAACTAACCCCCCAGCCTCAAAATACCCCTACCCCTACCAGTTCTTATGCAACAGTTACAACCAAGAGAGTTTTGTCCTAGCATTATTTCCCTTCAATCTCCATTACATCCAAACGTCCATCATCCTATGAACTAGCTATTGAATTTTCTATGGTAGATCTGCAATAATCTGCATAAATCTTCGAATTCTCCTTGGTGGCCAAGTTTTCTAGAGGTCGTCCCTCTATTAACACCATTCGTAACTTTGTTCAACAGAATTTGGGGATTGGCTAAAACTCATGTAATAGGTTTGATTGATCCAAGACGTGTGCTACTTCGATCGAGAATTCAATCTTTCAATAATTCAAGTGAAATGTAGATTTTTTCGCTAAATTTCAATCTTGAAGCTAGGACTCCCGTGTCATTTTTCCTATCAACTTTTCTTTGGGACATTGTTAGAAATTTTTGGTCATTCCTTCATGGTTCTCATCCCATTCACGCTAGGGTTTTTGTGGAAGTGGATTTGACAGACATAATTCCGTCTCGGGTATGGATCTCTGTTGGACTTGACAAAGCTAAAGGTTTCTGGCAACCAATTATTATTGAATTCAAAACCACTTTATACAATTGCTGTAAGTTACAAGGTCATTCTAAAGACATGTGTCGAAAGCTCCCATCAAAGGATATGAATCCAGATCACATTGTCCCTCCTATTGCTAAGATTAAACAATCATAG